CACTTCCCACCTTTGTGGGTCCCACATGCCAGTCAATTTCTTCCCTTTATTTTGCTACAGTTAAAAAAAATTAAAATTAAAAAATAAACTTACCTTCACCCGTCAAAATTAAAAAGCGAAAAAAAGACGGGTGAAGGTAAGTTTTCTTTTTAATTTTGATTTTTTTTACTGTAACAAAAAAGGAGGAAATTGACTAGCATGTGGGACCCACAAAGGTGGGAAGTGAAGAAAAAATTTGAATTTTGAAATTTGAAATCATTTTAATTTTTTTTATTTTTAAATTATTTAATTTTTTATTATAAAATAATAATTTTTAATATTTTATTCTATTTTATTATAAAAACATTTGTTATTTTGATCTTATATGTGTCATTCCGGTAGAGTCACGGTCATCAAGATGGAAATGGTGACGGAACAGTGAAAAGAAACCAAAAAAGTTTCAAAATGAAATTTAAAAGGCTCAATCTATATACATGTTGATGTAGGGGACCAAAATTTAAATTCAGAAAAATGTAGGGGACCATTTAAACATTTGTTAATTTGATCTTATATGTGTCATTCCGAAAATACCCCTGACTTGGTAGGGTCAACGGTCATGAAGACGGAAATAGTGACGGAACAGTGAAAAGAGACCAAAAAAATTTCAAAATGAAATATGAAGACTCAATCCATACACATATTGATGTAGGGGACCAAAATTTAAATTCGGACAAATGTAGGGGACTATTTATACAGTTTAGTCACAAGAAGAATTTAAGAAATTTACATGTCACAAGAAAATCTACAAACTACCAATTGTATCACATCTTATGTATGCATGTCGCTTTTTTTATTTTTATTTTTTTAATCATTGACTATGAGATATTACTCCAATAGTCCAATTATTTTTAAAGGCTTTTATTAGTTAAGTTTGATTTGGATTTGTAAGTTCAAGTCACAATCAGATGTTGTTGTTGTTTTTTTTTTTTTTTTTGGAAATTCACTGGTATAGCATAAAAGTCAAACATCAGATTCGTATATAGATAAGGAAGCATTAGCAAATCTATGCATATTCTCTACTAATTCCCTATCTACTTTTACCAGTTGAAAATTACCTAATTCAAAGTCAAAATTGAATGGAATCCAATTCCATGTATGGGGATGCTATCATTTTCTTCATCCTTCACATGGAGGGCAACTCAATGGAGTCGATAGAAGGCCTAAAAAAAATTGTTGTGGGGAGCATTGATCATTAGGACTTAAATACAATCTTGTGTAGCATGGCATTCCATCCTATTGCATGACAAATCTAAGGACCCCCACCCCCACATGCAATAATCCGCAATTTTAACTAAAATGCTTCATCATCAACTTAGTTCATATCTTCCTTTTGTTTCGTAGCTTTCATTTTATTGTGGTTTTGGCCATGTTGTTGTGAGTTAGTAAAAGCCACCTCACAAGTCACAAGTCATCTCCTTTTTCTTTCTTTTCTTTTTTTTTTTTTTTTGTTTTGATGAATATCAATAGAGAGGTTTAGTTCTATTCTTTTGCACGTCCCTTGGGACGAATGATCGTTGGGGTGACATCAATTTTCAGTAATACACTACTTTCTTCGTCCCATAATTATTGTCCAGTTTGGATTTTCATTTTTAGTTCAAATTATATTAAAAATGAAATCTCAAACTGGACAATAATTTTAGGACAAAAAGAGTATTATAATATCCATGGAAATTAGTATTGTTGATCACAAAAATGTAGCTTTGAAACGTGAAAGTTAAGATTTACTAATGCAACCAAAAAAGTAGCTAGTTTTAGTTTGTTTAGTTATCGTTTCGCAAGAGTGTTAATATTCAATGAAGATGCGGATGAATCAATTACGGAGAGTAAGTTATAAGCGTCACATGATAGATAGTATAAGTTAGTTTGAAGAGAATAAGTCTACAAATTATCATCCCTATTAGTAGAGCTCCATCCGTATTTTAGGATCTTTAATTTTATCTAGTTTGATGAAAATGGATGGACTATCACCAGTCACTTCAATTTTTTTTTTGGATAAACAGTAAAATTGTATTACTCAATCAATCTTGGCACTGTACATGTGTTAAATGCTTCTATTACATAAATTTCAAATTGCGATCACTCAATCCCTAACTGCGCTAAATATCGAATGTCATCATTACTACCTTTCTTACAAGGATATTGTGTATTCCGTATCATCTCTTGTTAAATTTTGTCTATTCTATCCTGAATTGTCATCCTATTGGTGCCAAATCTTCTTTCATTTCATTCTCTCCAACTGTGATACACCACAGCCACTAAGCTAGCATGTAGGACTTTCTGTTTGACAACCTTCAATCTCCATATTCTTAGGAGCCTTGTAGCTTGCACTGTTCCTTAGGCAACCAAAATTCTGTTGTGCACCCTAGCATCACCATCTAGTATACTCTTGGCATACTTACACCCAAAAAAACAGGTGATCATTATGTTCATCAGTGTTTGCACAGAACTCACGTTCCCTGCCATCTTTCAAAATTCCCATTTTAATCAATCTTTCATTTGTCAACAGTCTATCCTGCAAAGCAAGCCAAGATATAAAGCTTTGTTTAGGAATACAGTGTGTATTCAATATTACCCTAGCTCCCCTTCTTTTTTGCTGTTTTCCTCCGAAGCATGCATAACCCCTTTCAGTTGTATATAAAGCAAGGGTGACAATGGATCCAGCAGCGGAGCCACCTTGGGAGCACTTGGTGCATGTGGCCTACTAAATTTAGCCCAATTTGTAGTCTATAGGTATTTTCTAATTTCACTGTTCTGGACTTTCGATTTATATTCTTCAGTAGAAAAATCAGATTACACTCAGATTACAAATCACATTTATCCCAAAAAAAAAAAAAAACATCAGATTACAAATCTAAAGGAAATTAGTTTATTGCATCAAATGAAAAACTACCACCGTAAAGCCCACTAAATGGCCCAACGCAAAAATGGAATCGTTTTCTTTTTCCTTTGTAATGGTTCGAAAATTTATTTCTAACTAACTTGTTTTTTGTCGAGCGTCGCGGGACCAATTTTTATTTTCAGTATATTTGAAATAAATATGTAATTTTACAGCATAAAATATAAAATAAAAAGGGATAAAAATATAATATTTTTAGCTTATCAAACTCTTCATGTATATCACTTTCTCATTAAGATAATACTGAAAGTAGTAATTCATAATTGTCGGAAACATTTCAAATAGTTCCATCGAATTTGTCATATGCAAAGAAAACAAGGAGTTATTTTTGTTTCTCTAATGTGATATAATAACTTCTAATTATAATAAAAGCATTTTACCGATATGTGCTTAGTATACCGTCTGATTAGTCAGAATCAGAACGAAGATTATTGATTTTTATCAAATAGAGTATCCATGAAGGTCTCCCATACAATAATGTTGAAAGAATTTGAGAAAAAAATTTCAATATCTTGTGAAAAAGTTGCCATTCTTCTAATGTCAACAATAGAAACTTGGCATTATTTGACAGAAACTATTATTATACTATTATTCTTTTAAAAAATAGAAACTTGGCATTATTTTCTATATATATATATATATATATATATATATAGAGAGAGAGAGAGAGTATTATTGTTTCTCCTTGCAAATCTAATAATCCGCATGTGATGAGAAACATTTAGCGAAATGTTGTAAACAGAAAAAAAAAAAATAAAAGAAAAGAAAAAAATGGCATCAAACGAATGCATGGTGACAGAGTGTAAGGGACTAATTGAAGTAAAAAGCCTCCCAACTAAAATCTGCCTAACCATAATGATAAGCACGAACCAAGCAATCAGACAGAGCTGTGCTTTGGTTTTACGACTACATCCTCTCTGAACAGAAATAAAAAATAATTCATCAAATGACTGTTGGTAATAGTTTTGGAGCTACTTAATTAGTTCTTGCTAGATTTTTCCCATCAGTTACCTCCTCTTTGGAGCTACTAAAATCGCATACTTTCAGGTAGCAGAAGTTTGGATGGTGGAACTAAAAATTGCCTTTGCGGATCAGTATATCACTACAGAATCGAGATCATTTGTTTGGCTTTTATTATTTTTTGTTTTCCCCCTTCAAGAATAGTATTATTATTATTATTTTTATGCGTCTATCCGTTACAGTTACCGTAGCCGTTGTCAGGTAATATGATGTGATTTCTTATATAGTTAGTTAGCCTAGAATTTTTGTATGATTTTAGTTCTGTTTGGATTGAATTCATTAATTGGGTTTTTGTTAGAAAATGTGGTTTTTTAAATTTCTTTTTTATATTTCATTCAATTAGAGTGGTTTTCTTTTTTTAATTATGGAGTCTCGATTTTTTTTCCGTATATGATCAGTTATGAAGTGTGTATTTTTCTTTGTTTAATTGCTTTTGATTTTGTTTCATAGTCCCAGTTGACCAATTATTATTATTATTATTATTATCATTATCATTATTATTATTATTATTGTTACTACTATTATTTTATTTACAAATGAAGCGCTTTTTTTTTTGTTCGGGCTTTCAAGAATATACTTTTTTGGATTTGATTTTTGGACTTTTTTTTAGTTCCTCATCATATAAATAGTTCAGGTCGCTTCTTCTAATTAATTTATGGGGAGGCCTTTTATGAATTTGAGGCGGAGAGGAAAGGAATGATGTTTTTACGTTTATTTGTGTTTTTATATAAATAATTTTCTCAATTTTTAATGGACTATCTTTTAATTTCTTTTTTTTTTCTTTATTTGCCATGGTGAGGTGAGTTCTTTTTTGCTATAACTTGAAACCTATGCAAATTTACATTATTTTCATTCTCATATTTGTGATCAACCAGTTTCAAAATCATATTTTTCATATTTTCCTACCTATAAACTTTTGGAAGAAATAGTTCCAACAATTAAGCGTATACCTATAAACATTTTTTTTTCTACCCTTTTTCCAAAAATACCCTTTTTCTCTCTACCCAAAACCTAGCATCGATCACTGGCATGTGGAGCGGCGGCCATGGCTGGCAATTCACCGTTGGAGCATCATGCGCCACCTCGCTCCTTCGCTAGCTTCTTTCAGAAACCGGCGGATGTAGCTTCTAATAAGACTTCGCTTATTAAGCAAGTCAAGTTTATCAATGGGACTCCAACATTAGAGTTTGAAGATGATGAGTTTGAGCAATTGATTGCTCCTCATCGGCTGTGTTTGGTTGGGAAATTTTCCTACGGCGGTCCGAAGATGGAGGAGATTCACAATGAATTTAGAAAAATCAGATTTAATGGTGGTTATACTCTAGGCTTGATGAATCCTAGACACGTATTAATCCGATTTAAGCAAGAGGAGGATTATCAAAGATGTTGGATTCAGACGTTTTGGAACATTGGAGGATTTTCAATGCGAATGTTGAAGTGGAAGCCAGGGTTCCGATTTGAAGAAGATCCACCGGTTGTCCCAATATGTGTTGCAGTCTATGATCTTCCTATTGAGTTCATGCATCCAGAAGTCATCTATTCGATGGCTATAGCCCTTGGTCAACCATTAAAAGTAGATACACCAACAATGAACATGACTCGTCCCTCTATGGCTCGGTTTTGTGTTGAGGTGGATCTAACCAAGGAGTTGCCGAAATCTGTAAAGATTGGCAAGAAGGGTCGTAAACACGAGCAAATTTTCACTTTTGAGCATATCCCATCTTACTGTTTAAAATGTAGTCAGATCGGGCACAAGGAGGCGGATTGTCGAGTTTGGAAGCCCTTGCAGTCAAAGATGGATGGTGATACTAATGTAGCCCTTGTCTAAATGGCCACTCAAAGGGGGGGGGGGAGGATTCAAAGAAGGATGCTTTGGAAGTAGAAATCTTACAGATGAACCCCCTGATAGTCAAAGGATTTGAGTCTCAAAATGTTACTGGCAAAGATGAACCCCCTGGGGACGAAACCCTAGCGCGACTTGGAGCGCGCCCTATGGAGGAAACCCTAGCTGCAGAAACCCTAGCTGCGGAAGAGCCGCGCCAAACTGAATCCACTTCTAGATTATCCACAATCAAAAAAGGAGCAATACTAGTGGATTTGCAGTCCACTCCAGTAAGGGAAGAAGCAGTGTCGGACCTCCCAAAGTCAAATGCGACGGCGCCGGTGCAGTCGGAAAATCGATTCTCGGTTCTCCAAGAACAGGTAGTCGCTAATATCAATGATGATGTGGAAAATATTCTTATTGAGGATATTAATCAAGAGAGACAGAATGTTGGAACGGAAAATATTGAGTCGGTGATTGTAACTGAATCTCATGTGGATATTTCTAGTTCTATGTTAGCATTAGAAATGTGGAACCTATCCCCCGCACCAAAGTTTGGTCCGATCCATTTTCCTGATGATTCTTTTGCAGCGGAAACCATGACAGTGACGGCGATAAGGAAGAGCGTGAGTTGTGGTCTGAAGGCGAAATACATGAAGACCGTATTGTGGAAAACGATAAGGGTGAACGTTCAGTTAAGAAAAAACGTGGACGATAACCGAAGTCTGAGCGTGCTAAACAAGTTGAAGGTGCCGAGTTAAGGCGCTCTATTCGACTTCAGTAGGTTCCTCTCAATTCAAAGTTTCCAATGATTAGTTTTATTTTTTGGAATATTCGTGGAATAAAGAGTCAGGCTTCTCAACGTCGCTTGCGATCTATGATTCAGATTTATAAAGTTTCCTTTGTGGTCATTCTTGAACCAATGCTTCCGCTTTTCAAATTGGAAGAAATAAGAAGAGAGCTGGGGTTTGATTTAGCTTTTGCTTCTCCCACTAGCAAAATTTGGGTGTTCTATAGTAGACTTTTTACAGTGAATATGTTGATAGAGTCAGAACAGGTGCTGCACTTTGAGGTTGGATACATCCCGCTTCAAAAGAGCTTTTTGGTGTCTTCAATCTATGCCAAGTCGAATAAAATAGATAGGCGCACTCTTTGGAGTAGTTTGGAGACTTTCAAAGGGGCGCGCCTTTCTTTACCTTGGGTGGTTGGGGGCGAATTTAATGTAATTCGATCTTTGGAGGAATATTTGGGATCATCGGTCCTAGATTATGGAGCAATAGATGAGTTTAATCATTGTATTGAAGCTTGTGATCTGATTGAGGTTCCTCCTATTGGTGATGAGTTTACTTGGGGCTGCACAAGGCATACGGGATGGGTAAGCAAGAGATTAGATCGTGTCTTGTTTTCCCGGGAATGGTTTCACATGTTTCCAAAAACCTTGATAGAGCATCTTAGTCGAACTACTTCAGATCATTGTCCTCTCCTCCTCCAGTTTGATATACACATTGAAAGTAGGCCAAGATGCTTTCGGTTTCAGCAAATGTGGTTAAGAAGGTTGGATTTCCACAATGTAGTAAAGGAGAGTTGGTCCCAACCAGTTCATGGATATGGTATGCTAGTTTTTTCCGCTAAACTTCGCCGGCTAAAATTCAAGCTCAAACAATGGAACAAGGCACATTTTGGCGATGTCTTTGATAATTTGAAGAAAGCTGAGGAAAAGGTAAAGGAAATGGAGAATATTTACAATCATTCTGGTGATGTGAATGATAGAATGAATCTCAACTTGGCTAATGCCACTTATCTTCAAAAGTTGAAGGAGCATGAAGACTTTTGGAAACAGAAGATGAGATTGAAATGGTTGAAGGAAGGGGATGCGAATTCATCTTTTTTCCATGCGACTTTGGTCAAAAGGAGAGTGAAAATGGGTATTCATAAAATACAAGGTGAAAATGGTAGAACCCTAACTGATTTAAGGGATATAGAAGGCGAAGCAGTGAATTTTTTCCAGCTTCTATTAACAAAGGAACCAGCCCCCTCGGAGCAAGGGGAGAAGCAAGAAATCTTTCTGAATCTGTTTCATGATGAACTTGATCATTCTGACAAGTCAATGCCTATGGGTATGGTGACAATGGAGGAGGTTAAAAATGCTGTTTAAATACGCACTCAACACAAGTATATGCTCGAGCATCATTAACCAACTCCTTATCAATCTTATTCAGTTCAATCTAAACACCAACTCAATCGATTCGATTGAATCACATATACCAAGTCGTCGATACGTGAATTGCTTATTTACTATTTTGACTATTGTCGGGCTACAACAATTGCACCTATTAAAGCAACTAAAAGAATTATTGAAACAAATTCAAATGGAAGAAAAAAATCGGAAGAGAGAGAGCACAGATAGAAAGCGAACCAACGACATAATCGTATCATGAATCTTACTTTCAGTCCTTATCATGCTAGTTTAACGAATACTTATCATAGAACACACATACTAGGCTTAGGATTGAGGTACTCGTTCAAGCGGTTAGTGTCAACCATTATCGAGAGATATTCAGCCTTGGTGAAGATAGTTCTCCCGGTGTTGATGGATTTGGTGGTACATTTTATAGGTCTTTTTGGGATCTTATAGCCGATGACTTATTGCAAGCCTGTAAAGAATTCATGGGAGGAGTACCAATTCCAAGGGCTGTTGCTAGTACATTGATAACCTTGTTGCCTAAGAAGCAATCTTTTACCACCTTTTCAGACTTCCGGCCCATCAGTCTTTGCAACTTCCTGAATAAGGTATTTACCAAAGTCTTAACAGAAAGAATGAAGAAAGTTCTACCCAAGATAATTTCTGAAGAATAGTCCGCTTTTCTTGAGGGGCGAGATATCATTGATAATGTGGTTCTAGCACAAGATCTTTGTCAATTTGTTACTCATAAAGCTGTTGGGAACAATTTGATTATTAAGGTTGATATGATGAAGGCGTTTGACCGGGTGTCGTGGAATTTTCTTGAAAATGTGCTTCGAAGGCTAGGGTTTCCACAGGGATTCATTGCATTGATCATGAACAACCTTCAAGGTAGCTGGTTCTCAGTAATGATTAATGGCTCCCCTTCTGGTTTTTTCAAGGCCTCTCGTGGCATAAAGCAAGGTGATCCGTTATCACCTTACTTATTTATCCTAGTAGCTGAAGCAATGACGAGGCGGTTGAATTCATTGGCTCAAGAGGGGAAGTTGGCAGTGTATGGAACTCCGGCCAGTTCTTTGAGGGTTTCTCACTTATGTTTTGCGGATGACTTGGTAATTTTTACAAGGGGACAGAAGAAATCTGTTAAAGTGCTAGATACATTCTTCAATGATTATGAGTTGGCGTCGGGCCAAAGAATGAATTGTCAAAAAAGTTTCTTCCTAGTTGCGGAGTCATGCCGCGCGAATCGGGTAGAAGTCATTGCAACGGCCTTGGGAATGCAAAAGGAATCTTTCCCTTTTACATACTTAGGCTGCAAATTGTACCAAGGAAGGAAGAAGGCTCCAATATTTCAGTTTATTCTCGATTCTCTTGAATTGGGGTTGGCTAATTGGAAGAACAAGATTTTATCTACGGGAGGGCGATTAATACTTTTAAGACATGTGCTAGCAGCAATCCCTATTCATGTCTTTTCTGCTATAAGTCCTCCTATTTCGATTCTTAAGCAAATGGAAAAACGGTGTCAAAGATTCTTGTGGCAAGGCACCAGTGAGGAGAAACGAAGGCATTTGCGATCTTGGGAGCGCTTAACCTTTCCGACTTTGGAAAATGGGTTAGGGCTTCGTCGGTTTCAGGATGTCGTACAAGCTTTCTCTTATAAGCTTTGGTGGAAATTTAAGCATCAAAAAGGATTGTGGAGTAAATTCATCTCTTCTCTTTCAACTTCAGCTAAGAAGAACACTACTTGGAGTAGGCTTTTGAAGGTGGAACATGAGGCGTCTAAAAATGCAAAGGTCCTGATTCGTGGAGGTGACAGACTTTTTTGGTTTGATAATTGGGCGCATGAAGGCCCTCTTTGGGGTTTGAATGAGGAACAGCCACCTTTTCCATCTTTAACCATTCAAGAATTTTTCACTAATAAAGATCTTTTCTTGAATAATATACAGGGAGTTCTTGATTGGAGAATTTTTCAGGAATTACAGCACATGGAGATTACGCTAACGGAGGGGGCGCGATCTCCTTGTTTGGCAGCATTCAACTTCTGGAAAATTTACTGTAAAATCAGCTTACTTGCATCTGAGAAGGCGGAACCAAGAAGACTCTTTGGCTAGGAATTTTTGGCATAAATTAATTCCTCTAAGGGTTTCTTTTTTTGTCTGGAAACTGAAGAATTTCTTGGTCCCTTTTCCGGAGATCTTGAGTACTTTTGGCATCCAGGTTCGTCCATCCATTTGCTTATTATGTCGCAACCATGAGGAGAGTGTAGCTCATTGCTTTTTTAGTTGTGTTGAAGTTAAATGCATTTGGATTCATTTTGCAAAATTTTTTTCCATAAAGCTGGAGAATGTTACCTCTTTGCTTGATAATTTGCAAAAATGGTGGAGTGGAGGCAATTTTGCTCTTACTAAACAAGCCTTGATTAAGATCATTCCTTCTTTTCTTCTTTGAGAAATTTGGAAAGCGAGGAATAAGGTGTATTATAATGGGGTGCCATTTGACAAAGGAAGAGTTATACGTGAAGTCTCTTATGCGGCTAAAGATGCATTATTTGTTCATGATTTGAAGGTGAAGAATGTGGAAGAGAGAGACTTTATTGAACGGTCTTTTGGATTAAGATTGCATAAAATTCAAAAACGAACTTGCATTGCGGTTTGTTGGAAACCTGTGCGCGCGGAGGGATTTGTACTAAATTCGGACGGTTTGGCTATTGAGGATGGTTCTGGCTATGGTTTTGTTATTAGACATCATGAAGGAGATTTCATGTATGGGGAGCATGGCTTCCTAGGTCCCGGTGATAGTTTCGGGTCGGAGGTTTATGGTCTTTTATTTGGAGTGCGAAAATGTGATTAGCTTGGCTTGGCAAGAGTTGATATTCAGACAGACAATAAGGTTTTGGCTGACCTTCTTGGTTCTTTAAATTTGAATTCGATTCCATGGAAATATTACTTTCAAATAAAGGAGATTCATGAGATAATGTGTAGGGGATCATACAGTATATCTCATATCTTTCGGGAGGCAAATGCCGTTGCAGACAGTTTAGCTAGACAAGGCTCCCTGGGCCGTTCATGTACTTATACTGGATTGGGGGCTTTATGTAGGCATACTCGTGGTCTAGTTCTATTAGATCAAATCTCATTTCCTTATTTGAGAGTAAGACTCAAATAGCATTGTAATTTGGTAAGTCTTAAGCACTGACAATCTCCTTTATTTAATGGAATTGAATAAAAGGGAGGGTAGAACTAGGGAACCATGTAATACGTATGTCCATCCCTTGGGTGCATTATATTATATGGCACTTGCTAACTCAAAATTTACTTCCTGGGTAGACCCCTTGAGTTTTTTGGTTTAGTTGGGACCTGAACGCCATCCTTTTTATTAATTTAAAAAAAATTAAGCGTATACCCTTGGGAGGAAACTTACTACAAAGCTATTATAAATCTCCAAAACTAAGTATTAATTTGGTACAACCAATGAACATCAATAAATTATCTTACTAATATTTAAACTTATTGGCATGCTTTCATATTTTGTCTAGCATTTATTTCAAGACATATATTTGATCAAGTTTATTTATATTTAAGACTAACACTTATAAAACATTTCTAAAATCTTCAAACATTTCTAAAATGTACCGGACCAAATACAATTTCTTTTTATGCCAAATACAAACATTTCTATGATCACAGTTATAAAATATTTCTAAATTCTTCAAAAATTTCTAAAATATATCGGGCCAAATACAAAATATTTTTTTCCAGATACAAATATTTCTAAGATCTACAGATATATTGGGCCAGGGTGGCGCATTGCGCGACCAGACATCACTAATATATAGATAGAAGGGAGTTTGAGCCCATTTGATTTAGGTAATGCACGAATAAATTAATCCGATGGAAATTTTGGGATTTTGGTTTCTTTTGATGAAACGTAAAATAGATTCGGATTTGTTTCTAATTATCTCTGTAGGAATATCGATATCGTTGACAGACGGAAAAAAAAAATTTCTTGAGTAAATGACAACAATTGTTGGCATATTTTAATATTTATAATTCTGTAATGTCTGAAATTAAATCGTAGCTTTTTTGTTTGGGGGTTGGGGGAAGGGTTAATAATTCTGCACCCTTTAAAAATTGTATCCTTATTATTAAGGCTGCCTTTGGGTCTTGAAAAATAACAGACGAGAAACAATTCAAAAAACGCGTTGGACATATAGTAGTTTTAAATACGTACTTTAAACAGGTTGTTCTATACTATCCATATGTGCTATAATTTAACAAATGAAATATTATTTGTTCAAAAAAATAGTCTATATTAGGTTTTAATTAAAATTTATATTAAAAATCGTACAAATTTAGAAATTCATTGTGGATTATATTTTTTAGGACAAATGGAATAACTAGTAATAAATATTCCTTACTTGGATATAAAAGGCCTTTTTTACATGCGAAGAACTTATGGAAGAGTTTAAGTCATCAATGATGAAAATAAAAACATATGAAATCCAGGTTTAATGATATTATGTCTTTCAACCAGGTTTAATGATATTATGTCTTTCAACTAAAGAACAATCATGTACTTCCTCCGCAACTCAAGATTCTGTCTTCTAACTCAAGCTTTTTTATGTGTCTAGCAGTCTAGGACATATTAATTTGTGCCTAGCTAGGACCTTAAAAAATCCAATCGTTTTAAAAAGATTGGTCAATTCTTGTCTACTATATTTTATATATATATATATATATATATATATATATATAAATAGTGAGTTTAGACAAATTTTTTGTAGTATATTATCACATGTATAAGTCTTTTTTTCTCCTCTTATGTTCTACTTTTTCCGTTTCCTCTAATTTACCATCATCATTATAATTTTTTTATTTTTCATTCAATCTCCTAATAACGGTTTGTCCTTAATGTAATTCTTTATTTTTCTTTCAATGCTCTAATAATGGTTTCATATTTCATTTATTATTGGATTTATTTAATCCCTAGAGTTACAAGTTTTGTTTCATCTTCCTTTTCATTAATTGCTTTTTCTTTTCTCACTTTTATTCTCTCTGATTTTCCACACTTTAAATAGAGTTCTTTCGGTTGATAATCTCTTTGATATTAGCCATTTGTGCTTGAATTTTCTCCCTAATGTCTAATCTCTCATTGGCTTCCTATTTACATAAAGAGGAATCATATAGTTTACTCTACAGTTAAGTGAGCACAATGTATATGATTCCATTTTATTTTTTTTATGATGATATTTCAATTTTAAACAAAAACAAATAAAAAGTATTTAGAGAATTAAAAATAATTTGAATATTTTTAAATATTTTTTTGCATCTCTCATATTCTTTGTATTATGCATATTATATTTTTCTATTATTTTATTTTAATGTTGAATTAATTCAGTCTCTTATATTTAGTCTCTCATATCCTTTGTTATTTTATTATGGTTTGAGAGTAGTCTCGTAAAGTATTATTTATATTACAGTGAGAAGAATATAAAGCTCTATCATAATATGAATTTAAAAAAAAAAGGACAAGTTTTAGAATCACGCATTTAAAGCAAACTTGAGAATTGAAGTGTAAGTACATATTAGAAGGTAAGTATTGTTCGCTTTCATGTGTTAGTTTAGGTTTATTATTTAGAATAGTGTTGTTTTAAGTATAAATTTTTACAATTACGATTTATACATATATTGAAATGTACTTTAATCTAAATGCAGAAAATTATTTGTTACTTGCATATTTGTATTCAGTGACGGAATCAACCCCAAATGTTTACGAGGTCGAGTACATATATAATTTTTTTTTTGAAAATATTTTAAAAATTACAAGGTAAATTTTTAAAAAACTTTTGCGGACCCACCCGACCACCCTCGCTCCCCCTGGTTCCGTCTCTGTTTGTTTGGTAAATACAAGATTATTAATCGAGTTGTAGTATCACATGTGACATTGAATTTATTCAATAGAATCATTTATTTAACATCATTTTTCTACATTTTTTTATTTTTTCCTTAATTTATTATCTTCCATTATTTATATTAAATTTTAAAATTATTCGCGCGTTCAAACCAACTAGTACTTATTTAATAATAAGAAACGTGATAATCATTTTGGGTTAAAAAAATTAACTAAGCTTCAATTAAATTAGTCAGTTCGGATCAATAATTAATTTGATTCCTTCCAATATTTGAATCGGGTCTCAATCTCACAATCTGCTCCTATGCTTGAAGCTATTCAATTTGTTCGCCAAAACGACAAATTCTTCTCTTTTACATCTTTGCTTCGCCATTTTTCTTGATCTTTGCTTACCATCATTCTCAAGCTGCCTAGGAATCACCTATATTAGTGACTTCATTAAACATTATACCCTACCTTATTTAACTAAACTTTGTTCCATCTGATCCTGATTATAAATCACAAATTTAAACTACTCTTATTGTTAATTTTGGTCTAAGACTAGAGGAAGTATAATAAAAAGAACAATTATTTTGAGACGGTCGTGTTAATTTCCTTTATGTCTTGATTGACTAAACAATATTCGTTATACAAATGTGGCAACCGACCAAGTTTCATCAGTCTGCGTTTCTTCTATGCATATGTTGTCATCAAACTAATTCTTGTACTGCATTAATTCTTTACATTTTGGTTTTCGGCCTTCTTTCTGATTAATTAAGTCGATACATCATGGATCACGATAAAATATCAAGTACAAAAGGGTCCAATTAATTCTAAAGTTATTAGTTTGACAAAAATTATCAGGGATTAGAGAGTTGGATTGGAAGATACATAACAAATAGATTGTTACGATTACAAGACGAGACTTCAAACGTAATCGAGATTCGAGACAATTTTTTAATTGTAATTTCTTGTAACTCATTAGATCCTCCTAAACAAAGTCTATTAACTACGGACTTGCGATCAACATTGGAGGACTAGATATAATTAAGCCATTGAAACACATGGAACTTGCATAATTTGCCTTTCTGGATTAATTTATCAGCACCAGAAAACCTAGGATAAAGGCAACCATGAACACACACAATGATTCGAGTAGATAGCTTACGACTGATCTCAAATTCAATGGACTTCACATATTCAGGCGTGATTTTAACATATCCCTATTAAAACTTTTAACTCCTTCACAAGACATGAATAAGTAGACATTCTAGAAGCTCATCGCTACAATCTTTACTCTGAACGAGTATTATTCTTGTGGTAAGTATCAAAACAATCTGAAGTGTTTAAATCCCTCACTCTAGGCTTTTCATCGAATTACAAATTACAAAAGACCCACCTGCTGAGAAATTTGTTACAGACGGACCATACTGTTTAGAACTTGAGTTCACCTTCACACACCTTAACGAATGACATGACTATCCAAGTATGCCTGATCCGAGGTTTCAGTAGCACCACTGCAGGAGGTTGTTTTATGGGAATCAGTACTATGCATTCTCTGCTAGGTTGGGAGTGGAAACTCATGCCCCACCAAAGAAATCTGGCATTGTAAGTTATGTCGCTGTCCTCCCAATGCCAGCATCCCAGATGGTTTTCTGGTTGTTACATATGCCGTTGATCTATGCCCTAAAAGGAAAATTACTTTGGTGCCGCAGCTACAGGTTCCTTGTCAGTTTGGCTTATCTCTGCCTCTGGAAGACTTTTGAGTACCTGCAGGTCCAATTTTGTTAAGTGAAACAAAAGCAATAAGCAAGCATATTGTAAATTTGTGATCTTCAGTCAATTACCTGAAACAGGTACCAGGAAACAAAAGCATCTGTGGCTGCATATTTTAGTTGTTCGTCTGACAAGACATTAGCCTCCCAATTTCCCAGCCTGATGTTATGGGGTTTAGGCAGCTATGCAATCAATAAAGGAATTCAGAAAGAGCTTATATGGGAAGATTATTATAAAATTTGAGTGCATACGGCATTGTTATCTCCTCTGAAGGCCTTCAAACAAACTTTGTCCAACACATGCATAAATATCCATCAAGTTCACAAAGCCTTCCATATGAAGGATTTCGAGAAGCTAGTTTGGCCATGTACTATGAAATCATTTCTATTTCCTAGATGGGAGAGCTAAAAGAAATTATCAATAAGATGCCAAACCATGACTATTAACAGATAAAATGACTTAATCAATCTGTTTGAGGATAAGGACAGATTATTTCACAAATGACACCGTTGTAAAGACAAAGAAAAGTGAGGAGTGAGGACATATAAAATGAAGTAACCATTTGCATGAATCTGGTAACAGAAGTGTAGAGTATTCTGTTAAAACAACAAGAAATTAACTGTCAAAGCAACAAGAAACTAACAAGTGCTCAATTAACCATTGATAACTATAACTAAGTTTTTAGCACCAATAAGTTCACAGAAGACAAGATGCATCTAGCTCTTTTGTCATTGAACACCGGCAGTAAAACATCAATTTTGCTAGAACAGCTGCGGAATCATAAGAACCTCAATATAGAGATAAGTTGCATTCACCCATGATTTGCATCAAGACAGTTTGGTTTGATGAAAACCAGAAATACCTAGTTGGCTAATACAGCTGTGGGACTAGAGGAAACTCCTCATATCTTGCATCAAAGATGAATTAGTTAGTACAAGGTTTGGCTCATCAACTGACATGATATTTTTTTCCACGGGTTGCAAAATCATTCTTTTTAAGGAACACATTCAAAGTGAACCAAATCTAATAAGAGTCTTAATGTTCACCCAGAGCCATCTTCCAAACCAAAATTTTAAAAAAATAAAATAAAATAAAAGGGTGCTATGGGTTTCCTACAGCTCTGTAGTGCACTTAGCCAACTAGATGCTAATGAGCTTGCAAGGAAGTGTCATTTCTCGAAACACCAGATGACCAACTTCAACTCAGCCTCTGTCATGGAACAGAAAACAAGACCATCCAGAATACTAGCGACTTTTCTTGTTCAGAAAAATCAAATCTATCCATTGAAATACATTCTTACTCAAGAATCAAACACTTAAACTCAACGAATTTTGTTTTAGTGGAAATAATGTGTGAAAAATAAACTCATTGTATGAAACTCGCCTGATGGAGAGTCATTTTGTCTTTTAGTTTCAAAAGATCAAATTAATGCTAAAGCAGTTAACACTAACATAGAACTATCAATGTAGAAACCCTTTTTTCCAGCAAAAGAATGGCCAAAGTACCTGTTTGCAGATTAGCATTTCGGTTAGTGATGATAAACTCCAGTTTTTGCAATCTCCCCCAAGCTTTTGGTTGGCTAGATAAGACAAATCTTCCAAATCTTTAATCCACACACTATGATCTGAAAACATTTTACGCGCATCATTGGCAATGCAAACACCCACCTATGCATATATTGTCAACATATTAACCAAAGCTACAAAGGCAAGAAAGCAGCTTCTATCTGGAAACAAGAGTTCCTGTTCTTTTTAAAGAACAGAATGGCTAACCTTCAGCGAAGTAGGACTTTCGAGAAGAGACCGTAGATTTTGAGGAATTCCAGAATGGTGTATATGCATTACGTAGCATACTTTACTATCACCACAGATTTGCAAAACTGCAGATTTTCCCGGTGCAATACCTACACAATTAGTAGTCAGAGAGGAGAAAAGTATCCAGAATAGTAAGCAATGTTGAGTTTCCGTTATCAAGTTCCTAATAGACATTATGAAGATTGCTTGTCATAACACTGAATCACTTGAGTGAAAATAAGGACTGACGCCTCAGATCTATAGCATACAAAAGCATGAATATCTTTAAACTATTCATAAGCAAGTTGAATGAATTCTTTCAATATCTTATCACATGTTGCCCAAGCTTATGTAATAGCAGACAATCCATGAACACATTTCAAAAGTACATGAGCAAGTTCACTAAAAAAAATTTTAATATCTTATGCTCAAAATATGTACTGCTCAACTTTAAGTAGACCTCTTCTATGATGAAAAACCGAGATACACATTGACTCCATTGCGGGAAAAGTACATTCTTTTATAATTATCACAATATGCAGCATCCACACACAAAATCACAAAAGAACAATGCAATACCAAGATATCAATTATTGAGAGGTAAAAGTGATTAAAGCACATTTAGAGTAAAAAGTAAATGCACCAACCTCTCCTGAAAGTCGGTCTCCATTCTATATCAAATCCTAGTATGGCTTGCCCTTCAGTTCTTCTCTTTGCTTCAACAAAATTCAGAAGCTCTGCTGCTGATTTCTCTACCTCATCAAAGCTCCTACTGTATACAATCCGACCTCTAAATGATATTTCTGGGTACCTAATTGCTAAGTTGCCAAATATTGCAATCACCAGAGAGAGAGAAACAAAAAAATCAAAAAGTAATCCAAAACGAAAGCAACAATTCCCACAAACAACTATCTTAAAAGGCATGACAGGACTTGCTATGACTCAGTTAAGCATTCCAAAAATGAAAACTCAAGTCTTAGCTTGCCAGATTGAAAGCAACCAATATGAATATTGAGATAAAGCCTCGACTTTCAATAGGTACAATAAAACAAAGAACAAACTCTGCATTGTAGTTCAACATTTAGCAATTGCCAGTTTTACCAAAACTACACCAAAGAAAGCCTCAATTTTAAACAGCTAAAAGCACAACCTTTGCAATAGTGTATAACAATCTAGCTTCTAGAACCATAATTGAACAAAATGGTTCAATCACTTGTCTGTTTTAAAGTGAAAATTGCATAAGGAATGCCTAACTCACGGTCTCAACGCCGAGGTACAATTATTAAAGCAAAGTACAATGCTGTTCATCAAGATTTAACTTAAAATGTACAACCTTTGGAGCAGAGTATACAACAATCTAGCTTTTAGAATCATAATTGAACGAAATCGTTTTTATCACTTGTCTGTTTTAAAATGAAAATTGCATAAGAGATGCCTAACTTACGATCTCAACACCAAGGTGAAAGTACAATGCTGTTCATCAAGATTTCACTTAAAATGTACAAATGTTTACCCAAAATATGCAACACTTGGAAACGGGGGTAAAAAGGGTACCTGGGCAAGTGGATTTTCTAAGGCAAGAACCAGCTGTGGAACCGTTTTGTTGGAAGGTAAATAGTGAGTCGGGCAACCGCCGGCGAGAAACTTTATCGGAAAGTCCATCTGAATCGTTGCTCGGAAACTGACGCTTAGAGGAGGAAGTGGTGGCGGAGTACTGGAGAACAGCGTCGTCGATGGCTGCTAATTCTTCAGCGGTAAAGGGCCGATCCCAGTTTTCATCATCTTGTTCTTCAACCATTACTGTGGTGGATGATGACATCACTGTTTGATAAATCTGTTGTGAACTTGTTATTCCTTCTGCTTCCCTAAGTTCGTACGTTGGAAGATGTTGCTTTGAAAAAATCTAAATGGCGGGCGATGATGATACAAGAAATAAACGAATGCTATAACATTGGTTATTTGGGACATCTTTCGTACCAAAAACATTGTCTCAAAATGGAGAGTATTTGACATTGTTCTCTAAAACAAAAACTTATGTAAAATATCGCAAAAAACATTCATGATCCATTACTTGAATCCACAAAATTCATTGAGGGAGCAATCAAGTTATGACAACGGCAAACTTTTTCATCACATGGCAAAACAACCCAAAAACTACCAAGTCTTGGACAATGCCATCCCTAACAAATACCTACAAACTCAATCAAAGGACCAGAGTATCCATGTCACGTAGAAAAGATCCCCCAAATCTAGTATCAATAATCAAATTCGAGTAGGATACATCTTTCAATAATCACTAACATCAAAACTCAAGTTGCATATTCTTCGGATGGATCTTCATAAAAATCAGAAGGGCACTGGAAAATTTTTATTCACCCTCAACCTGAACTACCATTCGTAGGTTGTTTCGCGACGTAGATTTGCTTCATTTTCGAAGATGACATTCCCTTTTCAGAACCAAAGGACTGATTCCTTCCATGGAAATTAATTCTCCTGTGAGACCACTCACCCCCAGCATTATTTCTGTGAGATGTCCCACTACCCACTCTTTGGTAATTGTAACCAGGAGAATGGGTCTGATGCGCAGACATATTCTTCTGCTGGGAGGATCGGTTCTTGAAACCACCCGAGCCGTGTCCTTCATTGTTGGTATTACCACCGGTCGAGAGGTTGCCTGTGTTGTTGGCATCTGTAGTAGAGCTCGTGGATGAGCTGTGACCAACTGTGTTTTGACTAGATGCCGCAGCAGTGGTGGATCTTGATGTGTCTACTAGACCTAATTCATCAGGTAAATGCGCGACATTCACCTCGGGTTGAACAGTAAAGCTTGGGCCAGTTGTTGATGGAGTCGAAGTTCGTGACTCAGGAAATCTGCTCACATTCAGTGACTGATCTGCTGGATTTACGTGACCCAACAAGGGAGGCAGTATACCTTCAGCTTGCTGCAATGGCCGTGAGAAAGGCACTGAATGAAGTGCTGGTGCAGGAACATGAGACCAATGGGCTTGGACCGAAATGTCTGGGGCTGACTGTAAAATTTGCAAGGCAAAGTTACCAAACTGTTTGGAGATAAATATTGTACAAATATTAAGATATCCAGCAATGCATATAAATATAGTTCATGCACGTATTGGTAGATACACGTGTGTTTACATTACCTGGAATGGTGATACATCAAACATAGCCAAAGGGGAGGCAAAGGGCATGATTGGTGACCCTGAAGTGAGATGTTGAATGGGTGCGGGGATGTTGGGATGATTTCTCTGCCCAGACGCAATATTAGGATTATTCAAGTGACCCTCACCCATACCAACAGCAGATGACGAATTGTGCTTCCCATCAGAAGGCTTTCCAGAAGGAATATAAGTAGGACCCATGAAACTTAATCCTACCTGCCCAAACTGTCCAACTGGAGCAAAATGGTTATATACCACCATGTGCGGAGGACCTTGAACTCCAGGAATGCCTCCAGGTGGACTAATGAAAGGACCAGTATACCCTGCTGGATGTCCATAAAAAGAATCTACAGCAGAATGCTGCCATGTACCAAGAGGCCCTGAAGTGGATGTAGTGACACTTTTCTGAGTCTGAGATTGGGCACCAACGGATCCTTCACTTGGCGTAAAAGCAAAAATAGGTCCACCCAACATAGGATTCATCTCATAGAAAGGAAAATGAGGACGGCCTCCTGGGAAATGAGAAAGCATCTGGTTTGAAGAGTTATGCGGGCTTGGCAAAGGCGGCCATAAGGAAATTGGGGGCGTGTCAACCGAGAGGTCTGCAGGAAGAGATACGCTAAGAGATTCTTCAGCTTTTGACTGAGAAACTAACTGGTGATCACCCATGCCTGCAGTTTTAAAATAAATTATTAGGCCCACATGAAACAGAAAGTGTCAGCGATGACCACCCCCTAGTGAAAGAAATATAAAGTGGGGTTATGACACACCTGCAGCTATGTTATCAATGTCTGCACCACCAAAGCTTTTTGATTCTGAAATAGAAATAGATCCAATCCCATTCTCAACAACCTCATCACTAGCAATAGCAGCAACAGCAACAGCAGAAGCAGCAGCTTCAGCATCTGAATCTTGCAGATGAGCACAAGAGTCATCAGTGTGTTTATCCTTTTTAAAGAAAAGTGAGCATTCATCCTCGGCGACTGATAGATTGTGAGGAATTTGGATTTCTGGTCTGCTGGAACCAGGAGCCCGACTACTAGGAGGAAGGATAGGTGGGGAAGTAACAGCACCTGATTAAGAAAAAATGGAGAAATGAGCACAAGAACAGCAATGATTAATAAAAAACTGGAAGAATGTTCAAGTTCCTGTCACTACCAAATTGGATCTTCTCTCCAGCAAGCAGAGAGTTGATTGGACTAGAGGAAGTGAAAGATCTTTCTTTGATCAGCAAGGAAGATGAAGGTAGAATAGGCTCCGTAGGACCGCTACTATGACCTCCAACAGATGTAATGGATGAGTCAAATCGAGGAGCCTCCATAGCTTCCTCAAGTTGAGTCTGCGTCAAGGCCATAACCTACCAATGAGAAATTAAACCAGAGTTTGAAAGGTTAAAAAAAAAGTGATATACATGAAGAAATAAAATCATGGCACTAAAGAGACACACGGGAGCACATATAGGTTCATAAATGAGGCCAAATTAATTATGCAACACAAGGAGGGAGTAAGTCCATCTAAAGCATGAAAAGTTTAAACAAGATCTTGTTGCATACCTGTTGATTAAACTGTGAATTGCCCCAGGAATTCAAAGAAGATGACACATTATCCATGACCTTACTCTGGCTCTCAAACGTAAGATTAGGCCCATGGTCTTTATCACCACCAGATAGAACAGAAGCAGAACTTGCAGGGAGAGACCTGTAAAATGTATACATCATTAAAAGATTTACATCACATTGCCAAAGAAAATAATTTCATGAAAATATTTTCAGAAGATTCGTACTTGATGCTTTGGGATCTTTTATCAGTTTGGGTGTCAAATTTGACAGCAGGAGTGCCAATTGGAGCAAGTGGTTGAGACACCTTGGGAGCAGATCTTTCCTTGTAGGCCAAAACCCGCCCTTCAGAGGAACTAAAGCCAGAGTTAATATTTGGGGGAGAAGCTCTAGCCGATACAGAAGCCTTTTTGGAGTTGTTCAGTCCCCCAGAGATCGGTCTGGATGTGTAAGGTTTACGTGATGGCTGCCATGAGAAATAATAAAAGTACATTTTATTATAATACGAAAATAATTCTTCAACATAACCAAGAAGAGATTATAAATGATAATTGTTTGCCCAATGCGATTTTTCTTACCCGAGTCTTTGCCTTGATTTCTTTTTCTCTTTGCTCCCTTCTATCATTTAGCATTTGCCTCTTTGACCTCACCTCAATAAAGTCATCTTCATCACTAGGCGCTTCTATGCCAGGTTGCTTAAAAACACGCACAACCCCACTTTGCAGGGGGGCATCAACATCCTCTTCAGAAATATTTCTTTTCACATTTCGCTCTCCAGCCTGGGATACCTTCTGATCTCTTATGGATACATCTTTTTGAATTTCTTTTCCTACAAAGTTACTACCCTCTGCATCACTGATTTGCTTCACTGACTTACTAGACATGGTCCCCCTCTTCGATCCACTTCTTACAAATTGAGTACCAGATCTTCCGTTGTTATCATATTTATCATGTGCATTTAGGCTGTTAGAGGAAAATGAACCAGATGGGGGTCTTCTCTCACCATTCTCACGTACACGGAATTCAACCCTCTGAACAGTTCTTCGTGATCTCCTCTGAAAACCATTCGTTTGCAGAGATGACTCGTCATCAATTGATAGAGCTGATCTTGCGCCAGAGTTCTTAACTGCATAGGTATACCTCTTTCCCTTGCTAACAGCACCAGAGGCCTTCACAACACCAAAGTTTTTTTCATTGGAAATGGAATCATTTATAGATAGCCTAGACTGCAATTGATTTCCAGACATTCTCCCTTTTGAGGGTGCACGGCTTCTCGAAAGTGGCTCATTGTGCCACTTAGTTTCACCTTGGCCTACTGTTTCAGATTTCAACTTTTCACCACTACCACTGGCAACCTTCGTAGTAATAATTTGAGTTTGAGATGAGCTATCTGCACTTTGTCTCGCGGCAACTGAGCTCTCTGCCAACGAACGATTACACTGAGAAGATGAATCACCATTCACAACACTCTGAGTAGAAGTGTCTTGAGAAGGTTGAGTAGGCAATGCACCTCCAGCATTCAGATTGAGGCTGTAAGAAGTCTGCACAGTGGGCTGACCAAAAGAAGATGTCGTTGACGGAGGAGCAATAGGAAGAACACCCAGAGATATGGGAGACGACGTGTATCTGACCTGACCAAACTGAAATATAGGAGACTGTGATGGGTGCACAAAGGATGGACCTGTAGAGGGGTGAAGATGGAGAGGCATCTGTATTGATCCAATCTGTATGGTGGGAACAGGAGATGGTATGAGAGGAGGACCAGAAAATAGCCCAAACTGAAGTTGAACAGGTGTGTCAACTTGATTTGGCGTAGTAGATGCAGTTGATGCTGTGGTAAGACTAGTAAATGATGGCAGGCCAGCTGAAGATGCTAAAGTCTGTTGAGAAGAAAAAGGAGGCCCATCCGACGTTATTGATGAGTATAAGTTGTCAGGAGTTTTAACAGAATCTGGAATGTCCTTTTCCATTTCCTGCAATACAATCGTCACCGAGTCAATCTATCATCTTTAGTCCAATAGAGAAGATAAGTGAATATTTGTGTTAAAACCACTGAACTTCGTGAAATTTTTAAAAGGGCTGTAACCCTCACATAATTAGCAATAAGGGCAACCCAAAAAACCAAAACCCTAAAATCTGAAAACCAAAATATTCAGGATTGTTTCCTAAAATATTTTCTTGCCAAATCCTATACTTGAAGATCATTCTTCACTGGAAGAGTTAAGTCCAAATCTTTAAGATGAAATATCAAAAAAATTAACTATAATTTTAACAGTTTCATCTCTTTAATTATTATTTCTGAGTAGCCATGAAGAATATAACATTAAAATGAGCTCCAGTACAAACTAGTTGAGCACGGCCCTCTAATCCTTTCCTGAACTATATTTGAGACACTGGCCCAATTTGATAAAAGTGTCACTCACAAAACTCGAATCATGTGGCCAATCTATTCTGTGAGAGACAACATGATAGAATATAGGAGGAAAACGTCTCATCTATATTTTTGTTTCAAATTTCCTCATTCATAACAATGTAATTAAGAATAATGAAAGCGATTCTCAATTCCATCAAATTTCTTTTGCAATTACCAACAGTTAACAGTATCTTTTATTTAAAAAATGAAAAATAAAAAAAAAAAACGGCAAATCCAATGGGGAACGATATGACAGATGTTAAAACTTGATCTAATTTAAACACTTAAAAAAACCAATTAAAAGGTCAATACAATTGGGAAAGCATTACCCATGCACTAGAGTACAAGAAAGGCAAATGGCATCCAATTTTTCCATAAATAAGGTGGGTCAGTCAGAATTGAGACCCTTTTCCCCAGATCTTAGTTTCAAATTCCTAATTATTTAACCACTTAATCTCAAATCAAGATCGGACTTAATTCAAGTGCTTACAGGAAGCCATATTTGCCACAGATTAAGGTTTCTTGTCAATTCGTACATGGACACTTCATGATGTTTGGATTCTGAACTATTCAACAAATTATTGCACAAACAAAATGCAAAACATACTCGAAATCTGGCCAGCTTAAGTCTATTTTTATTTTTTATAGAGAACTAGTTATTGCCTTAATTATAAATAATTATATGGAAGCTAAACCCCTTCTAGAAAAACGTGGATTTTGTACTCTAATCCTTATTATTTTTGTATTATGCTCATTCAGTGTACAAGTAAGATATAATGGTACCGCATATCAAAAATACTGAAACAGGAAATTGAGAAAAAAGAATATATTTAGTGAACAAAGTGGAAAAACACAAACCTGTTCATGGCTATGCTCATCACTCTGTGCACACACAACACTTTTATCTTCATTCCTGAAATTTCTGTCAAAATCATCATTTGGTAACTCAACTTTAATACCTTCATCAAAACCTAAAACCATATTGTCCACCATTCCTGAAGAACATTTATCTTCCAGATGCAAATCTCCAAAATCCTGGTTCAAATCCAGATTATCATAATCTCCTTCACGCACTTCATCCTCTTCCTGATAACCATCATCTTCCTCATTATATTCTTCTTGCTCTTGCAAACCATCAGCATTTTCAAGAGTCCATTCCTCATCCTCAATGTTAGAGATCATACCAGAATCTGCCACTGTGGTATGCTGCACAGAGTTATCATTTAAGATGACAGCATCATTCCCAGACATTGAAATGTGTTTTCCTGCTGCAGAAGCAGACAAGATTGGAGAATCTCCAGAATCGTCCAACTCATCATAGGAGAGATGAGGTGGAGAACTGGGCGGGCTGGAAACAGATAATGAAGATTGTGAATCGCACCTTGTTGTCATCTCCTTTTCCAACTTCTGATCTTCGACACCGACACTTTCTTGTGGCATATCAACAACACCAGGTTGCTCAACTCCATCTTGATGACCACTATAATACCCTGTTGGTCTGGTAGACTCAGTTCTTTGTGCATGGTTAACATGGTTGTTATCCGGCAGAAATCCAGAGGGACCCGAACGCTCATTTGCAATCCTGAAAGGAGTCCTTTGTGTGGAAGCAATTGGAGGAGGAAGAACACGAGGCTGTCTCATAGAATATCGCGATCTTCCATAAGGATATAGTTCATCTGCCTCAGAATTTGCATATGGCCGCTCTGGATAAGGTGGATAAGCATTTCCACGAAAATGATTTTGGCCCCATCCGACATCACCATACCTTTCAGTTAAATTACCTTGAAATTCTGCATCAAAGTCTCTACCTCCACTGAAGGAGTCTGAATCCCCAGGAAAGTTCCATCTCTGCTCTCTCTGATGGCCTAACTCATCTAAATATGGTTCTTGCATTCCTCGCAAATTGGCCCTAGAGGATGCATACCCAGAACTTCCATGAAAATCTTTCCTACCAACAGCTCTCACATTAGCAAAGGAGTCTCTCTGAGGGGAAAAGTGACTCATGTCATGCTCCTGCATCTGTGAGGAAGCACCACTCCCATTTTCAAATGGATCCCTTCTCCATGAATTCAATGGTCTTCTTCTATCAAGAAAGCCAGAAGAACTCTCTCTAGTGGCATAGGCCCTCGAATCCGTCTCAAAAGGCCTGTTTAGACTGGACGTATCAAAAGATGTAGAAGATGTTATTCTTTCTACCATTTTCTCACTATCTTCCCATGTTTCTAAATCTGTTGCGGAAACATCGTTATCCTTCAATATTGTAGGCAATTTCTCATCTGTGCTGGCAGTTACAACTGAAGTCTCAGAATTCACAGCCTCAGCCTGCCTCTTGGCCATCCTTTCCTCCAACTCCATGAGCTTTTGTTTAGCAGCCTGCTTCCTCCTCTCCTCCTCCATCAGCATTCTCCTTTTTTCTTCTTCTCTAGCTACCCTCTGCTCTTCTGCTTTTCTATGAGCCTCCAATCGCTCCTGTTCGGCCCTCCATGCAGCTTCTCGGGTTTCCTCTTCCAATCGTCGCTGCCTTTCTTCTTCTTCGCGAATGAGTCGTTGTCTCTCTTCTTCTTCTCGCCTTGCTTGTTCCACCGCTCTTTCTTGTTCTTCAAGAATCCACTGCCTCTCAAGTTCTTGCATCTTCTGAACCTTTTCAAGTTCAGCTTCAAATAATTCCCGCGCTGGGTCATGCCAATCACTGTGTTTAACCACATCCTTCCTCCTCTTAATTACTCCAAGAAGACTCCCAGGGAAGGGATCCCGGTCATCAAAACCAGAAGTACCCATGAAAGGATCCTCCAAGAGTCTTTCTGATTTCCCAGCACCACGTTTATCATTACCTGATGCCATAATAGAATCAGATGGCAAAGGCAATTTTCCTCCGCCAGCTAATAGGGGTTTGGAAATAGAGCTATTCTGTAAATTGCCAGCCCGGTATCTAGAAGATTGTTCTGAAGCATATCGTTCCCGTGGATTCCATTCGGTTGCTCGATCAACAAATCCATGTCCAGTATCACGCTCATCATCTGCCCAATCAGACCTATGATTCATCGGAACTAATGGCAGCGGACTCGAAAAGAAATCATCTTTTGAAGGTTGACTAGGCATACGGGAACTGCCCGACCTGCGGCTATCACCAATATCATCTATGCTACCATTTCTACTAACATTATAAGACTCCTGGGCACGAGAAGTAAGTTCTACACGTGAACTTGAAGGGAAACGACCTTCTTGTTGATCAGTAGCCTCCACGGAGATAGCAGGTTTCTGTTTCGGGTTAGCAGTATCTTTCTGTTTCTGCCCCGGCACAGATGACACAGGTAATGCAGCTTGTAATGAAGGAAAATCCTCCCCTTTCAAAACCACAGCTTTCTCTGCTGGGTTTGGTAAGGGTCTAGCAGAACCAGCAACAGAAGTAGCATTCCCAACAACAGTCGACCTAGCAGAAGGTGGCATATAGGTGCTGTTGAGCCTAACCTCACCATCAACTCCACGCCCACTCTGCTCTACCTTAGTATCACCATCACCAACATCTTTCTCTTGCAAAGCAATACTTACAGGCTTCGTCCATCCCATGCCAGATGACGACGGCCTTGGCCCACTACCAGTTGTAGAATTAATAGCTGGCCCAGGGCCAGTTGACACATCAAATTTTTCATGTTCCTTCCTCAATGAGGGCAAGTTCAGGGGGGGTGGAACAGATAATTTCGGGCCAGCAACCTTTTGCGAATTTCTGGACCTGGACAAAACCACCATTCCGCCACTTCTTCCACCACTCCCTGGGCGCCCCCTACCTGCAGCTTGCCCATAAGAACCACCATAAGGTTGATGATTATGATGAGAAGACTGTCCATATGACTTGTTGAGATTCACTGATACAAACTTTGCACCGACCCCTTCACCAGGATTGGCCATGTTCGTGCAAATCCTACAAAACAATAGCAATGCTATAAAACTTAGGTGATGCTCATAGGGAGACAATTCTCCCCGAAAATTAGCATAAAATGATGTTCTAATGATTCCAACGAAATTGAAGGTTAACCAAATTAAATTATCACTGCCCAACAATAATAGGAACAGTATGACTGTACGAAATCTATGTTTGAATTTAAATTGGTATGAAAATGAAAACCTACAGGTCTAAAATTAATAAGAAACAAACAAGTTTCAGACTCCCATTAACAAGGCTATTTGAAAGAGACATACATGAAAAATATAGCCAATCCCACTAAGTGGGAAAAAGGCTGCTTCTTGTTGTTGTATACATCAAAGACGTATGAAAATCAATCAAAAGGAAAGGGACATCACTATGGAGGACTCCATCGTCAAAGCCAAACCAGAACAAAAGAATCTAAAGTAGGAATCATAACAAAAGTTGGAAACGTTGGCTCAAGATTGATCCTTTACGGATTTGTGTCTTACCAGCCACTCCAGAAGTACCATCAAAATGCGAATCTCCCTGGGAAAAGAGCCGACTGAATGGCTTCTAAAATGTCAGGATTTCTTAAGGATGAGCCCTGGACATTTAAAATTTCAACAATTAAATTCAGGAATAGGCACAGCACGAGCATATACAAAGTAATACTGCATCAAAGAAGCATTCACATGTAGTTTAAAAATCTACTAAAGCGGAAATGCCAATACTCTAGCGGGTGTAAATCTGAAGGAATTTACATATGATCATAATCCAAAATTTTCCACTATAGTCACTCCTGAACATAACAATCCACTATAGTCACTCCTGAACGTAACAATTTGTGCTGGATAAAACATCAGAACATAGTAATCAACTGAATCTGAAAAAATAAACTATACCTGCAGGACTTCAGCAACAGAAGTCACTTTTCCTACTGAAATCAAATCATCAAAGTCGTTTATTTATTTTAATCGAACGATAAAAAAAAAAAAAGAAAAATTACTATCTGAATCAACCTAACATTCAAGCAATAAAATTCCTAAGAGATTGGCATCATGTTATAAGTTGCTCCATCAATCAAAATAAAAATCATTCAACGGTTAACTGCCCCAAATAAGACCAATTTTATTTTTACAGCAAAAAAAAAAAGACCAAATTTTAAGAAAGCATCGGGCGGCGGCCGTATCAGAAAAAGCATGAAGAACATTGATTAATAACAATAATAATTAAAACAACAGATCTGAAGCATACTAAATCAAGGTTAATACAACACTGCACTTAACCTAAAAAAGGGAAAAAGAAAAATTGAACTTAAGGTTACACCAAAAAAAAAAAAAAATTATACACCTCTGCTAATTGATCGGAGAAATTAGACGGAATATTAAAGAGAGAAGGAAGCTTACTCCGGCGGAAAAAAAAATGACCTAGCCACCGCGCGCAGCTGCAAAATGTGGGAGTAAGCGAAGGAGGAGGAGGAGGACGGGAAGCAAAGCAAAAACGCAGAGAGATGAGAAAGAAGTATTATACTCACTGTAATTCCTGGACACGATGTCGTTTTAGGTTTTTGGTTTTTTATTTTTGACAGTTCGAAAAAGGGAAAAGAACCAAAATCCAAAAGTCCCAAACCGTTTACATTTCTTTTCCTCTTTCTTTTTTTGTTTTTGTATATTCTAGTACTGTATTTTTTTTATTTATTTAGGGTTAATATCAAAAACACTCCCAAAGTTAACTTGATTCTCAACAATACCTTTACTATTTAAAAGAATATCAAAAAATCCCTCGACAATAAGTAAATTGATGTATATACATATGATGTCAAAAGTGTTATTCAATAAGTAAATTATCAAAAGTGTTATTCAACGACAGAAAATTGATGTATACATATGATGTCAGTAAGAGCATCTGCACTAATGGTTTAATTCGAGTTGAATGTCAGACAAACAATACTAGTGGATTGCTGGAGGTGGTTTAAAACTTGTAAAATGTAAGCATATTAAACACTTTGTAATTTGCTTCCGTTTTCCATCAGATAACACCCACACCATGGGTAGCACTCCAATTAGTTATCTCTCTTCTTTTTTTTTTTTTGTTTCAGTTTTGACCGTTGGGATGTTTTTACTATCGTTTGATTATGTTTTTATTTTTATTAAAAATTTTATTTTTTCTGGAAATTAAAAAAATTATATATTTGGCATAAATATATCTAAATTTAATAATTTTGAAAAACCGAATTAATAATAGTATAGTATTTGTGAGATAGTAATAGTGGAGAAATTGTGAGTCCAAGATTATATAGGTGATGAGTGTAAGAGCAACTTCAACGATGTTACTCATTTGGTAAAAATTGTGATCCCAAACTGACATACATCTTTATTAAAAATTTTGTCCGATGAATTTCTAGGTGCATATCCCACCATGAGAGAGCATTTGAACTGATCCTCTTTCACTGGCCCAACTAATTCTCTTTCACTAGCCCGCTTTTTCGAAAAGGTTATGTTAAAAAAAAAAAGAACACATATGTAGAAACTAACGTCATGCAATGGTGCTGTGTCAAAAGTGGTGTAACCAACCTAGACTCTAATGCAAGTTATCCAGCACTGCGATTGCTCTAAAATTATTGGAATAGAAAGTGTAAAAAACGAAGGAAAAATTTGGATAAGGGACAGTGGAAATGGTTAAATTAATAAAATAGGTAAGACTTTCAAATACTTTTTTATCAAGGACAACAATTTATTTGGCAAAATTTATAAAATAAAATTAATTATGTATTGACTTGATTACCCTCTACTTCTCATTTAAAAGATCAAATCCTTTTCTAATTTAGATATTCCATTTCAATATCTCTCTCATTTTCTCATTTTTCACTCCTCCAAAAAGTAAACACCCAAAAATGCCAACTATTCATTTTTGTTAATTTTTCGGTTCCAAAATCGACCTAAAAGAAAGAAATAAAACAAAAAATTCAGCCATGTGTGGCGGAGCTATAATTTCCAATTTCATACCGCCGAAGCGCTCATCCCGGCGGCTAATGGCCGAGTTGCTCTAGTGGCCAGCCAACTTCGATCTGTACGGAGGTTCCAACGGTAAGAAAAAAGAAAAAGAAGAGCGCCTAGAATGGTGTAAATAAGGCTACATGTGATTCGTCATGGTTTATGGGGTTCGCATTAGCCGTGAATGATGTGCTATGTTGATGCTGTAGAAGGGGCTTGGATGGAAAAGGTAAGGAGTCATCAAAGATATTCAGTTTCATAAAAGTACAAAACCAACCAATTAATCATTTACAGCTAGGAGAGTCATCAAATGCTCGATTGACTTTTCCATGGTAGCACTTGCGGAAAGTGGAAATTTTCATTACTCCAAAGAAGCACCTCTTCTTTTGGCGGTTGTGTACTAACTCTTCGTTTAGTAAAAAATTTTTGAGGAAAGAAATGATGCAATTAGAAATATATCTCCAGGGAGAATTGTGTTTCTTGATTTTTCTATTTGATGAAGATTGTCAAGGATGTGGAAGATTTAATTTTGGCTAGTAAAATAAATAATAAGGCTAAGGATGTTAATACATAATTACTTTGATTTTATAATTCCTGCTAAAATAAATCAAAGTAACATCATGATAACAATGATTTCTGAATAGATGTCTCATTTAGTATATTAAGCGGGAGGAATGCAGTCTTAATGCTTCTTAATATAGATAATGATTATGTCCACGGTTGAATAATTTTTTGATATTACTTAATAAAATTATCATTAATTAATCTTGACAAAATCAAGTAAAATTATTATTAGTATTTTACAGACTTATTATTTTATTTTTACAAAGATAGATGATTTTGGTAATGACCTTGTGGCACTAATTGCCTAATTTATATCATTAAACGACAAGTGTCAATTAAGAACTATATATACAGATTATCATCATGTCTAGTTTTTTCATTCTCTAGTGAGACGTATAATTGATAAAAAGGACAATCAATAACATGTTAAAATATTTGGTCATAATTTTTATTAGCTTTAGAATTGGAAATAATCAGCTCTATTAATAATTTTCTTGTATAGATTATCAATGCTAATGATTCATGTAAACTATATTAATTTACTGACGTAGAGTCCTTGTATAAGTTTTTATCACATTGATTATCCAAGAATAAAGAAACAACAAATATAATAATTGTTAGAATTTTAGAGGAAAATGTAAAATAATATTTTAATTTAACTAAACTATAGTTGTTTACAATTTAATAAATGACAAATGGAATGATAACATGCAACACAATTACCTTAAAAACTATCCCTGAATGAACATACGAATTAAAAACCTTACTTTAATAGTTTAATATATATACACATATATATTAGAATTTTTTAAAAAATAAGGAAAGATTTCTTGGGAGTACAAACGTTTTCTTGGCACTTTTTTTGGCTGACTTACTATGTAGACATCAATTTTCGGTTAGTGAAGGACCCTTTTGATAATTTATATATTAGTTGAGGATTTTTTATATTTGTTCAAATAGTGAGGGTATTTAAAAAATTAAGTTAGCGCCAGGAGTGTTTTTGATATTAAACCATTTATTAGTAACTCAATTATAATTCAAAAAAAGCCTAAAACCCTCCTCTTTTAAAACCCCCCCTTTTTCCTGCCCCTTTTTCTCTCTCACATACTCACACACTAACCCCATTTGTATCACTTCCCAGTTCCCTCCATTTATCTCTGCGTTTGTCTTCATGAACTCGGATGATTGACTGATGTGATTATTAAGAATTAGAGAAAAGGAAACTAAGAAAAAACGAAAAGAAAAAGTTGAAGAAGATGAGTACAGTAGACAAAATGCTGATCAAGGGTATCCGGAGCTTCGACCCGGAAAACAAGAACGTTATTACCTTCTACAAGCCCTTGACGCTCATCGTTGGCCCTAATGGAGCCGGAAAAACTGTATGGATTTCTTAATCATCTCTTTGCTCCTATGGATTTTACACAATTGTATTTTATTTTTATTTTTTCTTGATAATTTTTGTTGTGGGGGGTGCACGGAGCATGTTCATGTTTCTAGCTTTAAAGGGTTTTCTCATGGTATATCACATTGTGTGGAGTTCTGAATTGCAGTACGTTTTTCTGCATGTTGGTATTGAACTTTGTGCTGTGAGAGTTTTACCCTCAAGATGGGGTGTTTATTTCTGTATTCTTGGTGTATTGGTCTAAGTGAAGTTGAATTATAGTTGCAATTTTTGCGGAAAAAGGCGCATGTATTCATTGGTTTGGTATTTGTTGGTTGTAGACTGTGATTGAGTGCTTGAAAGTGGCTTGCTCGGGTGAATTGCCTCCAAATGCTCGGTCTGGTCAGAGTTTCATCCATGACCCGAAGGTATCGCGGCTAAAAAGCTTAACGTAATTATTTATATTTTCTTTCAGCTTTGTTTGGTAAGATTAATGACGTTTCTTGATGACTGGTGTAGGTGGCAGGGGAGACCGAGACAAAAGGGCAAATAAAGTTGAGGTTTAAGACTGCTGCAGGGAAGGACGTGGTTTGTATTAGGTCGTATCAGCTCACCCAAAAGGCCTCCAAGATGGAGTATAAGGCCCTTGAAAGTGTTCTGCAGACAATCAATCCTCATACCGGAGAGGTATATATGATTGAAATAAATATTTACTGTGTTGTGTCTGCATTCTGCTGTTTTGCGGAGACATAATTTGATTATGCTTCACTCTGATGATGCTTTCTTATACCAGTACATCTGTAGACTGTTTTCTTGCCTTGTTACTTCTATTATTTCTTCTCATGTAATTCAGTTTGATGCTTGGTGTTGTGAGCGAAATATCCTCTTATGAAGCTTGGTGCTTTTGTGATATTATCAATTTAAAAAAGAAAAATTGAGAGAGAGAGAGAGAGAGAGAGAGAGAGAGAGAGAGAGAGAGAGAGAGAGATATTATGTGCTATTGCGTCTAGCTCTACTTTATCTGGCTTTTAGCTGACTTGATATAAAGCACTTGGTTATATTCATGTGAGAATTGTGCTATGTCTGAGGAAATAGGAGGAACTTTAGAATTTTAGCCTAGAGGAAATGCACTGTTGTCATTTAGAAGATAAGAGGACCCTCCTCATTTATCCTCTGTGAGATACATTTTATTAAGAATGAATCTGAGCCCTTCTAAGCTGTACAATTGGCGATTTTCAGTGCTTGATGGAGCACGCATAACATTTTGTGTTGTCATGACTTGTATTTAGTGTGCTTGTGAACATTTTGTTTGGTCAATTGGTTTGGTTTCTCATTGTTGTTTTAGTGATTATCTTTATTTGGCAAATTTGAGTATTGCAGAAGGTTTGCCTTAGCTATCGATGCGCTGATATGGACCGTGAAATCCCTGCTCTAATGGGCGTTTCCAAGGCCATTCTTGAAAATGTTATATTTGTACACCAAGATGAGGCTAACTGGCCACTTCAAGATCCTTCCACTCTGAAAAAGAAGTTTGATGATATCTTCACTGCGACTAGGTAATCCAGTTAACTAAGAATGCACGGCAAGTCTCTGTTCTTGCATTACCTAACATTTTCTCTGTGTTGGTCAATGTTTAGTTGCCAGAGCTTCATATTTAACATGAACCTTTTTTAAAAATTAATACACAAACACACACACGAACATGAGCCATTAGTATTGCATATGAGGAGGTACAGTAGAATTACTGGAGAAAGTCGGTAGGCAGACCTTAGAAGCATAGTGTCATTGCTCTTCTATGGAAGATAGTCATCAAAGTCCTATCCTTTATAAAATGGAGTAGTCGCCAGATGCCTTAAAAGTCACTCAACAACACATTGCTTGTGATGATAGAAAGTTGACTATTATCCCAAAATTAAGCAAAAAATAAGTTCCAACTTTTTCGTTCTTTTGGGATAGTTGGTCGGTGATCATGTTGATCTGTATAGTTCTGTTCGTGTGAGTAATTTCAGTATTAAGCACCCACAAAGCACTTTCTGGACCAACTAAAGAATAACAAAAGATGGCAATGTGTTCGGATACTGGCCTTGGTGGGTCAGTCCTCATTATGTATTGTTCTTTAAGGTAATCCCGGCTTATGGTTTTTGAGTGCTTATGACTTTTGAAGACCTATTATGTAAGGTTCATTCTTAGAGCTTAAATAAAGCATAATTTAATGGATATCTTTGTTGGTTCTGTGGAACTTGCCTTTTTTGACAAAGGAGAATTGCATGTAGTAATGATTGGACCTCTCTGTTGATGCATTAATTAAAATCAAGTTTAATAAGCACTTGTCCCCCCTTCTTTGCTTCTCTTCCCTGAAACAATTGCCCATTAAGAATGTTTTAAAGTTTTTGTGAACAGTGGGAATTGCTTATTATTCTGTTACCTAAAATCGCTTATCCACATTCATGTCACTAAAAAAAGGGATTTGTAGTAAACAGAGTTGTAAATGAGGCGGTAACAGAAATCACATGAGCCATTTTTCTAACTATATGCTGTCAAAGAGGTGTGCATATCCAGACCTGACTAAATCACCACGACATTCCTCTCCATACTGGCCGAGGGTGTTTTCTGAGTTATAGATTATATCACTCTTGAGAACCATTTTCTAATTATGTGCTGCTAAATAGTGATAATATTTATAACTGGCTGCTTGTGGGTAAGTTTGTAGTTCACCACATGCAATCCTAATGGTGGAAGCCTCCAGGGTGATTGCAGCTTTTATGACTTTCTCTTTTCTCCTCTGCTGTACTCCCTCCATTCCAAAATAAGTGTCATCCTACACTTTGCACATAGTTTAAGAAACTATTAATTAGGGTAATAAAATTACTTGAATATCCTCAACTAACCCCATTAAAACAATTTCTACCAATAGTATTAATTCTTATGAGGGTAATTTTGGAAACTTTGGACAAAAAATGTATTGAAATGTGAGAACGACACTTATTTTGAAATTTCTTCATTTTGCTAAAACGACACTTATTTTGGAATGGAGGGAGTACTCCTTAAAAGTTGTGGGTTGACAGGAGGTTGTTGAGTTCAAATTCTGTAATCTTTTTCAAACTTCAAATAACACAGTTGCGATTTCCAATTTCTGATCAGATATACCAAGGCCTTGGAGGTTATTAAGAAGCTACACAAGGATCAGGCTCAAGAGATCAAGACATACAAGCTGAAATTGGAGAATCTTCAAATTCTAAAAAATGATGCTTGCAAGGTAATTTTCTTCTAATGTCATGTGCTGTATCACAAAACTAGCTTGTTCGATTTGATCATGAGATACTTCTTTGAACTTCAAATCCACAATTCCTCTGATTTAAAACCCACTTTATTTCTTGCAAACCTACACGTGGCATTTGTTAATTTTTCAGTTCAAAGTTCTCTAAACTTGGGTTTTGAAACTCAAGTGTTCGGGCCAGGTTCAGAATTGTGGATGTTTTGGGCCTGGTTCAGATCATGGATTCCAGAAAATATGTTGCTCGTGCTATGTTATTTAGTTTCATTGGGAAAATCGAATATGTTTCATGGCTTCGTTATTTATGCCAGCATGCAGATGATTTCTTTTTGTACTTATTTTTCTCTCATAATTGCTTAAAGGGGATTTATTGTATTGCACTTTTGAGCTTTGATGTAGTGATAAAACTGCAGATATGATGTTTGTGTAGATTTAGGTTGGACATTAATGATAGAAACAAGAGTGTTCTCCAGCTGTGATTAGTACATTTTCAGTTAGGCCTCATACTTGTGCTCCTGTTTGAATTCAGCTTCGGGAAAGCATTACTTCTGATCAACATACGATAGAGGCATTAAACAGGCAAATGCTGGAGCTGGACAATGATATTGACATTGTCAATAGTAACATCCACAACACTGAAATAACACTGAAGGATCTGAGGAAACTAAAGGAGCAGATAGCCACAAAAACTGCTGAAAGGAGTACTTATTTAAATGAACAACAGAGACAGTATAACGCACTTGAAGAAGAGAATGAGGGTTAGTTACCTCCTCCTATGAACTAACTCTCACCCGAGATAATGTTTAAATTCCTGATTTTTCTTTTCCGGTTTTCTGTGTCAGACACTGATGAAGAATTGATGGAATGGAAAACTAAGTTTCAACAAAGGATTGAAATGTTGGAAACCAAATGTCACAAGCTTCAAAGGGAAATGGAAGACATGGAAACTAATATTTCTTCATTGAATCAAACAACAGCAGAATATTTAAAGGAGATTAGCAGGCTGGAAACTGAGGCTGACGTAAGTTCTTTTAGCTGGGTGGTATTTTTGCAAGGCACTAGGTAAGGTAGCACGTTTTGTAGCAGTGTTTAAAATGATGTATGGTTTTGCTCTAGGGTCATCTATCCCGGAAGAATGAGCGGGACCTAAAAATTCAGAGGCTTTTTGAAAGCCATAATCTTGGGGTTGTTCCTAATGGACCATTCTCTGATGAGGTGGCTATGAACCTCACAAATCGAATTGTGTCAAGGTTGAAGGAACTTGAAAAGGATTTAGCAGATAAAAAGGTACTGTATTGCTTTTTATGTTGTCATCATTGTTGTCTTTTTTTTCCCCCCTCTTTCGTCAAAGGTCTGTCATCAACTTCACCAGTCAAACCTATATGTTTGTATCTGTGTGTTTGTATCCTTCAGATTGATGATTTCAGTTGATGCTATTTTCGTTTGCAATGTTGTCTGAGATCATTTGCAATGGTTGTTGGGTTTTAGTTTTCTCTTTCGCTAGTTGCTTCTAGAGGAATACATTTTTTACTTGTCATTGAACTTCATATGACACGTCTCCCCATACAAAGTCACTTCTTTTTGGAGTTACCACTCAGAAAGCTACTTATGATATGCTTGGCCACGTAAAAATTAGCAAAACCTGCTTCTACCTATACATTTCCCACCAAAAGATCAGTCCAATAATACCACTCACTGGTAAATAGCGCAAGACTTCTTCGTGAATCTCCGCTATTTGAATATGGAACATCATAACAACGAATAGGAATGAAACGGCTATAGCTCCTATATGAACTACTGGGAAGATCATAGCGAAGAAGTCGAGACCTAACAAAAGAAGTAAACCTGAAGTATTGCGAAAGACTGGGATGGGAAACAAAACGGAATGTACCGGATTTTTAGCACGTACAACCATCAAACCAGAGACCAAAGCAGGGCTCGACAAAACAGAAAGTATCATAGTACGTCGTCCTTCCCTGAAATGGAACTTTCATGCTAGTTCTTGCTCCAGCATGAAAGTAGATCTATTACGACCAGCGCGGTTGTTCGTATTTCATTTTCTTCTTCCAAGTTGTGGATCCATAATTTTCAATTCGTTTGGGATTTTACAGGGAAGAGGTTCATCAAACTGCAATATGATCATATTCAGTTCTTGTTGGGATATTTCACTCTGGTTTTCCAAACATTATACTTGGAAAAAATTATTGGAAACTTAAACCCATGAAAAGTCATGATTCCAGATTTTTGAAAGTTTTGAAACCACTCTAACTATCTTGCTTGGGACGAAATTAATTTTAGTTATCCCAATGAAAGTTCCGACATGATTATTTTTCTGTTTTCGTAAGAGTTAGTTTCGTAAATCATTAGGATGGTGGAAACTTGTCGCATCTTTACTGTAAGATTGACATGTTATCTTCGTAGTCTTTTCCCTAAAAGTAATTTACCTGTGAAACTGTGCCTTTTTAATTGCATGTCAGTTGTAAAGTTAAAAATCTGCCGTTTGTGAATAGAAATGCTTGTGGCCTTTCTTTATCTACATCTTGGAACATTGCTTTGCTCCTGTAACATTTGTGAATTGCCTTTTTACATTCGTGTATACTTCAGTGATTGTTGCTCGTCTTATAGAATCCAGGGGTTTGGAAGAATTTTTTATTGCTTTGTTCTTCTCTTCAATTTGACATGTTAGGGTTTATATTACCTTGAAAAGTTTTTCTTTTTTTTTTGCTTTATTGGACTACCCCAACATGGTTTGATCCCTGACCTTGTGGTAGTAACAATCCACTGTTGAAAAGTTAAAATCTGGTTTTTAGATACATTTTTATTCTACTTCTGGTCATGCTACTTCTGGTGTGTGCAATATGTTCAAACGTCGATACTTTCTCTTCGGTAAAAGAATCCTTTCCTTGATTGGAAATAGATAGTTTGATATGCATTTTGTGGAGATAATCAGATAACGTTGCTGGTTGAACTTTTAAGTGATTGCCTTTCTTCTTGAAAGATCTGTAATATCATACTACTATTCTCTGAGATGACTTTTTTCATGGTTTTTGAATTTGGATGATTAGTTTTATCTGTATGTGTTGAACTTTTCAGAGTAATCATTTTCCCTCCTTTATCTTAAATCATTCCATGCAATGCTTTTGTCATAAATGATCACTGTACATTTGTTATTTCAGAAAGCAAATGAGACAAAACTTAAAGCAACTTGGGATCAATACATTCATGCAAAGGACCGAGGCAGAGATATTGAATTTCAAAAGGAGGCTAAAGCAAATAGGAAGGTTTGATATTGAGTTTAAATCATTTTCCTATGCATGCCTCTATGTCAATCTTATCTCCGTTGTATGAAACGTTTTATTCTTGATTGAATCTAGGGTGTCATATTGAAACAAATGGAAGAGAAGAAGAATGCGAGAGACTCGCTGGAATTGCAGATCTCAAATGTTAATCTATCTCTCTTAGATGAAAGAGAAAAGAGCTTGGTATTGCCTCTCTGTAAATTATTGTTGTTACCTAATCTGTAATTTCTTTCATACATTCTCCTACAAGTTGCTATATCTTTCTCGCAGTGTATTGAGGTAGAGAGAAAGACAAAACAGCTTGCTGAAAGAGAATTTGAATCAATTATACAAAAAAAGCAGAGTGAGATGTATAGTTTGGAACAAAAGATCACTGTTCTTAAACGGGAGAAATCCATCATTGCTGCTGACTCTGAAGTTAGAAAAGAATTTTCTCTTAAAAAGGCAGAGTTGGAAAACCTCAAAAAGAAACACAAAAAGATGTAAGTTGCTGCTTCCATTACATCTCTTTTTCTTTAGTGGGTTGCTTACAATATATTCTTTATTGTGGGAGATGACACTTTCTGCATTTTATTTTCCAGAATCAATGACTACAAGGATAAAATTCGTGGAATTTTGAAGGGAAGGCTTCCATCGGACAAGGATTTGAAGAAGGAAGTATCGAAGGTTCAAAGGTAAAAAGTGTTTAAGTTTAGGAGATTTTCTGAAGTCCTCATAAATGAATTTATTTTTATTTTGTTTGTCCGAGATTCTTTCTTTGCTCTCATTTTGGCGCAGAAATTTGGAGTTCCTTCAATTACTGTTACAGAGCATTTCTGCAGTTTCTTCTTGCGTCTTTTCTTCTTAGTCCACTATGGTTCTCTGTCCAAAGTCCTGAAGTTGCAATGCTCACTGAACTTATTCTTAAAGTTTTTTTCCGGAGCATATTTTCACCCTGATCTGCTCAACCCTTTTTGGTTAGTGATTGAACTTAATCAGTGGCTACCTGCATCAATGGAAGGCTGGAAGCAGCATTATTATAGCCTAGCTATTAATGGAGTTAACAAAAATGAACTTCACTAAATGACTTAGACCAAAGGAGACACACAGAAAATTTGTGTATTGTTGCAAAATTCATCATTCTAAAGAAGGACAAGAAAAAAAAAAGTTGATCAAAAGATATGAAAATTGTGAATCTGTAGGTCCTGATGACAATCCTTAGATGAGGTGTGGAGGTGCTTGGCAAAGATGGATTGGATGGCTTACAAACTTTTTTTTTAGTATGATTATGAAAAATTAGAAGCTTCCTAGCGATGTATCTTGATGCCTTTGTGTAAATATTAAAAATGATACTCTGTATAAAATAAAATGAAATGTGCCATATATAGGGGTATTAATAAATGTCATAAATCAAAACTGTAGGAACAGTTAACAGAGACAAGAGTAAAAAAAAATAAAAATAAACATAATGGAGAACCAACATATGGTCCTTGTTAGCGGACCCCCAACTAGTGGGAAAAAGGTTGCTTCTTGTTGTATATGGAAGCAAGGACATTTATAGAGATGTTACTTGTTAGTTTGGTTGTTGGAGTACAGGTGGATCCTCGATCACTGTAGGTGTACATTAAGAATCAGTTAAAGCATTTGCAGAAAGCAATTCAGTTTTTTTTTTTTTTTAATATTGACTGAGTGATCTTTATCGGTTTTCTTTATTGTTGATTTCTGTGGTTTGAACAATCTTGAGTCTTGTGTAGTTCATGGGGTAGTAAGGTAAAAGTAAATGCTCAATTAGAGCAAGAAGAGATTTTATTTGTGATGTTTCCAGGAATTTTTTATTGACGCGGAGTATGAAACAGGATAAACTCACTGCAAAAAACTCTGAAACATACAACTGCTGAGATGTAAAAGGCGATTCATTTTTAGATTCTAAGGTTTGGAAACCTGCACTTGCCAGATTTAGAACGGAGTGTACTTTAATGGAAATTTGTAAATCTGACGGGGTAGGTGTTTCGCAAATGCATGAAAGTTTCTCAGTCTCCTTTTGATGATCCCATTACTCTTTTGTGGTTAAAGCACATTTCAATCCTAGTTGAAGCTTGTTCTATGCTTAATGTCACTGGACTGATGGTGGTGGTAGAAAACAGATGGTGGTGGTGAAATTACTAGATGGAGGAGAAAAGACTAGTCGCAACTGTGGGTAGAAATATTTTCAGACAAGACCTGCAAATAAAAGGGTATTCTGACAAATCAATATTTATTCGCTGTGTGAACTAGCCATTTCTCGCACTGTGGACAAATATTGATTTGTCTGATTCCCCTAATTATTTTCATGTCATGTCCTTAAGATCCTAATGATGTCTCAATGGTTCTTGAGATCCTTTCTTACCCCTATTCGGTATAGTACTATTTCCTTCCCCCCTTTATTTCTTACAATATACTTTATCTGCAGAGTCACTGAAGCAGAATTTGATGAGATGAACTTAAAGGCCCGTGAAGCTGAGAAGGAAGTGAACACGTTGCAAATGAAAATTCAGGAAGTCAACACTAACTTGTCCAAACTGCACAAGGATTTGGAATGTAAGATGTGTTCTTTTACCCCGTTCCAAATTGTTTTTTTCAAGTACTTTGTGATTTTAGTTCTTGGCAGTGTGTTATTGGCTATTTTGTTAGTCCACAAATGGGAGAATTGTGGAGAGATAAACTTGTTTCATACAGCTGACATTTTAGTGCCATGTGCTTGAGAGAAACTAGAAAAATATCCAAAATGATACACATATTTTTGCCTAAGAACACATATAAATTCCCTCAAGCATCATTGATCTCTGAAAAGGCTAGCTCTACAGATTGTCTTTTGAGTTGAATTGGCTCCTCCTGCACGTCATTTACGAGGAATGATGCAATTTTTGTTGTTTTTTATTAGCAGATTAAAATAATTACCTGTTCTAAAAGCAATAACCTCAGCTGAAGAATGTGTCCATATTTTGACCTTTTAGCCTTTCAGTCATATTGCCATATGATACTGGGTTAAATTAAAATGGTAACCAAGGAGTGAAACTACTCATGCATCTTTTGTTGCAAGAGTCTTGGTTTTCGACCTTTGGGTAGATATGAAGTAGGTATACAACTTCAATGTTGTATAAAGACTTCCATATATTGTTTACAATTCCAAGCAGATAGTAAGTAAAACAATATTGAGGAGAACATGCATAATTTTCCCTGATGATATTGTTGCTACTGTCTTCATGCATGATATGGTGTGTAGAAGAGGTCCAGTTACAAAAAATGGCACTAGCAATTCTCAAATGAGAAACATACCAAATGTATTAATTTCATTTCAATTAACTTAGTAAGTATACTATCTACACTGATGAATGTCCGCTTGAGGCGAGAGGGTAGGTGATCAACTTTTGTATGACTAACCACAATTTCTCTGACAAATAAGGTCGCTGCAAGTTTGATTCCTCTTGAGACTAGAACAAAACCCATTGCAAAGTTATGGTTTCTATTGACTGTCAGAACTAGCTCTATAACAAACATATAGTCAGAGTAACCCGTCGCTGGACCTTTCTCTCTTTTAACTTCAAGTGTGTTATCTGAAATAATTTGCAGCCATAAGTTTCCAACCTCTTTGCGGTGGTTCCTTTGTATATTTGAGCTGAATTCTTTTAATCGAAATATTGTCCAACATGCAGCACGAAGGAAATTTGTTGAATCGAATCTGCAATCATGGGACCAGCAGTCAGTTGGTATTGACTCGTATCCAGAAGCGTTGGATACATCCAAGAAGAGAAGAGATGATCTAACAAGGTTTGATTTACATCCATGTTTAAACCACAAAAGGACTCACTCCTTTTGTTATAAAATCATAACACAACCTTGCAACAATTACATTGCCATTTTGGTGATGCAGCCAATATAATATGAGTGCTGGTATGCGGCAAATGTTTGATCCTTTTGAAAAAGTTGCTCGCGAGTATCATTTTTGCCCTTGCTGCGAGCGTCCATTCTCAGCTGAAGAAGAGGATGATTTTGTTAGAAAGGTTCAGAACATCTCTTAAATTTGCCTTGCTCAAATAATATCTTTTTGGTTTCGTTCCCAATCTGATTTAATTACATTTCCTTTGATGTCCTGATATGCTCTTCTCGCTGACATGGTTGATATTAATTTTTCTGCAGCAAAGAGTAAAGTCTGCAACCTCGGCGGAGCAACTGAAGCTCTTGGGGCGTGACACTTCCACTGCTGAGTCTAAGTTTCATCAGCTAGACAAGTTACGGACTGTCTATGAAGAATACGTCAAAATCGGCCAGGAGTCAATTCCTCAGGCAGAGAAATGTGTCACTGAGCTGAATGAAGAGCTGGAGCAAAAGAATCAGGCCCTCGATGATGTAAATATCTTTTGTCATATATTCCTTCGATAACTTGGTAAATCAAGAAGTAATTTAGAACCTTAATAATGTCTGAATCTTTGTGAAAAAGTCTCCACTGAATCCTTTGTGAGGTAGAGATCATTGAACTGGTAGGCTAATAGGAGAATAGAAGTTGGACACGATATTGGAGTTATCCTGGGCTCTATTCCAACCGGTAATAACCTAAATTGAACGATCAAGGAGCCTCATTAAGGTAGAAAGGGAAAAGTAGATAACTCCAGAACAGTTATATTGCAAACAGGCAATGCTTTACTTGAGAGCTGGAAAATGAACGGCTGAACCGTAGCCTCAAGGCTCAATATTTAAGTTAATCTCTCCTTTAACTACCCGTTATCTGTCCAGGGATATCATCAACTTTTTACTGGCTTGGAGTGAAAATATCCTCCCATTGATGAGAAAAACATTTGGATTCTCGCCATGGTGCATGCAACGATAATTTACTTTGGACCTTGGTCGAAGTGATGTTCTTCCATATTGTTTTCTTTCTTTTCATGTAGGGGTCATTATAACAGTGTTCTGATACTCCTTTTTTCACCCAGTGACCCTCCTTTCGATGATGTTATGACTCAATGTCCTAATGTTTCCCACAGATCCTCGGTGTTTTGGCTCAAGTGAAGGCCGAAAAAGGAGCTGTTGATGCCTTAATACAACCTGTAGAAACTGCCGACAGGCTCTTCCAGGAAATTCAGGAAGTGCAAAAGCAGGTTGAGGATTTGGAGTACAAGCTTGATTTCCGAGGACAAGGAGTAAAAACTATGGAGGACATCCAATCTGAGCTGGATTCATTACAGAGGACCAAGTACATAATATTTTCATCCTAATTGATGTTAAATATATATTTCATAGCTTTTTCTATGAATATAAAATTAAAAAACATATCTTTAATTAGAACTTTATAAACGTTGATGCACATTCACATGCAGCTCCAAGTTAATTGTCGAGTGCATTATCTACTGAAGCTCATGACGCCTTTTTCCTTGTTTATTTATCTCCAATGGTTTACAGGGATGGCCTGCATAATGATCTGGGACAACTAAGAGAAGATCATCAGTTTATGGAAAAAGATTTATCCGTTCTTCAGATTAGGTGGCACACTCAGAGGGAGGAGAAACTCAAAGCAGTTAACATGTTGCAAACATTCAGGAAGATAGAGGAAGAACTAGATCAGTTGGCAGAGGAGAAAAGTCAACTTGAGCTTGATGAGAAGGTAAATTCTTTTTATTACATTAAAATCTTATATAAGCTGAATGATGCTTAAAAATAAGTGTGTGGTGCTCGGAGAGTGGCAGAAGTGGAAGAATTTCAAATTGAATTCAGCTGGGAAAATTTTAACTCAAGGAATAAATGACAGAGACTTATGTATACTGAAACAGTAAAAATAATCCAAGGTTTACGTGGGCGACAAATATTGGTAGAATTTACTAGTAGTACTTGGTACGATCTTGGAGAAAATCCTATTGTAGGCACCACTAAGTTTGGTTTCTCCTTGAAATTTTAAGATACAGTTGGAGACGGTTTTCCCGCTTACACTACTCTCACGTGTCTATCAGATAAGTGTCATAAAGGTGTGTGAATTACTCAAAACAAGTTGTCAGAAGTGACTCTAGTTTCGTAAGGGTCTTCATAGAAACTTTCTAGTTATACACTTATTATGGTTACTGTTTACCGGTCATTGAAATCTTGGATTCTCGATCATCTTAAAGTCCTCCAAACTTGCAATTTTGTTGATCAGGTTTTGATTGTTTAGTTTTTTTTTGTCTGCATCCTACACCGTATCAGTTTAGTCAATTGTAGCAGGTAATTAATTTGTTTCAAGCTTACTTAGAACTAATACTTGTCTAAAAAACACTTTAGCACTTGGCAGAAGCTCTTGGCCCTTTGTTGGAGGAGCGAGAAAAATTCCTACGGGAGCATGAGGATTTAAAAGTCAAACTTGATCAAGAATATGTGGAGCTGACTGAACTCAAACAGAACTACAAACTAGAGCTTGATAAGCTTCTTGAGATATCATCGGACATAAAGAAGTATGTTTCACATGCATGAGTTGTGCTTTAGTTTTCCTTCCTTCAGCTATTAAGCACTACTTTTTGCAAACCAGGTATAATGATTTGAAAAGAGGAGAAAGATTGAAGGACCTACAAGAAAAGCAGATCCAAGCAAAAGCTCAGCTTCATAGTTTCGAAAGGAGGAAAGGGGAAATCATTGGAGAACTGAACAAAAGTCAAGAATTGAAGAATAACCAGGATAAATTAAGACGTAACATTGAAGATAACCTAAACTACAGAATGATGAAGTCTAAAGTTGATGCACTCGGACGTGAAATTGATGAATTGGAAGATCAAGTGTTGAAACTTGGTGGCTTCTCTTCCATTGATGCTGAACTCGCAAAACTGACACGAGAAAAAGAGAGGCTTCTATCAGAGGTAAAAATCTCTTATTAGATTTTTGTAATTGATTTTAATTGATTTTATGAGCCTCTTTAATGTCTCACAAGTCCAGAGCTTTGTGAGCTGTTTGGAAGTTTCGGTTGACTCCCTTGATGGGGTCAATTGTATTTCTTCATCGGGACAGATTTGTATTTTTGACCCATTGTATAACATTTAGCCAGTCTTTCTTGGATGATATAGTAGAATGTACGAGGAAGAGACACACTTCTTATGGTTGGTTGGGTATACTTGCAATACCATGCGTCAGTTTTAAGCAGAATTCTTTCAACTGTTTCCTTTTTGAGACATTTGTGGAAGAATATTGACTTTAATCCCCAAACATGTTTACAACAGATGCATTTTTTTTTTTTTTTGTGTTGAATTTGCTTTTTGTAATTTATTATAAACCATCATTGAGTTATGGGTGTTTGCCTGAAATTGCATCATCTTGCTTGGCAAATTCTACTAGGATCTCCGCAGGCTTCCTTGACATAGGGTTTTTGATTTGCCATGTTCTTGATTGGCTCTTATTGAGCATCAAACACCGAAGGTAATTATTGAGTGTCAAACGTGAAACCGGTTTTCATCCAATACTTTCTAGCTAAGAGCTTGTCCATGAACACCTTTTTTATGGAGTGATAGTGTTACCTTATTACTTTGTGATCATTCATTTTCCTGCCATCATTTTGTTTAAAGTCGTCATCTTGCTGTTGCTGTTACTATATTTTTATTTATTGAAGCATAAACAATTTGTGAACTGATTTAAGCATGCCTGCTTTGCAGTTAAACAGACAACGTGGCACTGTATCAGTGCATAACAGCAATATCTCGAAAAACATGATTACTCTTAAAGAGTCACAATACAAGGACATAGATAAACGCTATTTTGATCAGCTAGTTCAGCTCAAGGTGATTTCGCTTAAATTGTGTGTGGTTTTCTTTTTGAACAATAATTGGATGGTTATTCATCAAGCTTGAAGGGTTTTCTGATATTTTAGTCTGTTGGCAGACAACGGAGATGGCAAATAAGGACCTGGATAGATATTACAGTGCACTTGATAAGTGAGTTTCATCCTTGTGGGTTTGAATGCATACTTCAGTTTGTGCTTGCATAAAGGTGTCAGGTTCAAAACTATTTTTATAGAGCTGATATAAAGAACTTTTGGTGCGTAACAAATGTGAAAGAAGCTGATTCTGTCAGTGATGTATGTGAATATGAATTTTTATATTTGTATAAAATAGTGTCGGCCTCTTTATGATATATAACTCACGTCTTCGTGTCTTTGATCCTTGGTATGTCTACAAATTTTAAATTTTGAATTTTGAACAATTGAAATATTTTCCTTTGGCAAAGATGATCCCTTATTTATTCTTTGGCATGTTTTATTAGAGCCCTCATGCGCTTCCACACAATGAAAATGGAGGAGATAAACAAAATTATCAGAGAACTATGGCAACAAACCTACAGGGGCCAAGATATAGATTATATAAGCATTCATTCAGATTCAGAAGGGGCTGGCACACGATCTTACAGCTACAAGGTAGTGACAATTCCTATCCTTCTACTTGATATACTGAGACATTTGTGGAAGCTTATCATCATCTAGTATTGTTTAGTGGTGGGGGGGACGTTTGGAGTTGACATGAAGTGCTGTGTTTCTTTTGTCATGCAGCCGATGTTATTTATCTAGGCTCAAAAGTCATTTTCCGATTACTTGAAAGTAAAATTCTCATTAAAGAATTTGATGCTGCCAGTCCCCATTAGTAATGTCATATTTGATGAAAACCTGTTTCGTTCTACAGTTGATAATGGCCTGTGGCGATATATTAGTTTTACAAGGCGCGATATATTACAGGGAAGAGTGTAGTGCTTTATAATTGAGTGTGCCTCAACTGGCGAACATGTAATTGGTTAAAAACTATGCAGATTTCATCCAAATTAGCTATCTCATGAGAAAGAATAGGCTCTTGAATTTGTATAGACTTTAAGGCAATCTCCTCATTGAACATCATCGTTTCTTTATTACACGAATGAGGATTGAGTCATGCATGATGTAGAAGTGTTCTAAGTGTCCATCTTGTGTGATATTACGTCTGTTTTTTTCTGGGCTTCTTGGATAGGACTAGAGGGTTACTATGCAAAACACTTACATTGTTGGTTCTTTTGTTTTATCAGTTTGATGTGACTAATTCCCTATGTATTATACCCAGTGAAGTAACAAACCTTTCTTTAGTTTTGTTTAGATCTACTGGAAATTCATGTAAAATTTCATTTAGCTTCCATCATAGGCAGCCAATATTCACCATGGTGAACTAGCAGTAAAGTTCCTCTACAAATTTTCACTCTACTAAGTAGGGACTGGGTTGTACTTTCTTAATCTAATCCTGTTATTGAGTATGGATTACTTCCATTGCACACCATCAGTCTTTCCAAAGATAAAGTAGTAAATATATGGTTGCAATTTAACTGAAAGCTACATCCTCTTGCTGTTTCGTTTTTGCCTCCATTATACACTTTCCATGTATCTACTTTTGGTTTAAATTGTGTTGCAAATTGCGTCTGAAAACTGAATATTATTAAGTATTTCTCCTGTTACATCTCATTCGAGGTTACTCTGCTGGGGTAACCGGATGTTTCATGCAATTCTAACAACTTCTGACTATATTGCTTGCACCAGGTACTGATGCAGACTGGTAATGCGGAGCTTGAAATGCGAGGAAGGTGCAGTGCTGGACAAAAGGTTCTTGTGGCTATCACGCGCCTACCCATATTCCTGTTTCAACAAGACAAGGTTCTCGGTAATCTTGCTGGTGATCAATCTTGCTTGTTCTGAAATGCATTGGTTCCTTGTTTTTATTCAGGTCCTCGCTTCACTTATCATAAGATTGGCCCTGGCCGAAACATTTTGCCTCAATTGTGGTATACTCGCACTTGATGAACCAACAACAAATTTGGATGGCCCAAATAGTGAAAGTCTGGCTGCAGCTCTTCTCAAGTATGGCTTGCTTATGTTTATGGTGTAGATGAGACTAATTTGCAGGCACTTGTTGCCTTCGTATCAAACAGCTTTATTCATTTACTTTCTTTCCCTTCACTATTCTTCAGAATCATGGAGGACCGAAAAGGCCAGGAAAATTTTCAACTAATTGTAATCACCCATGATGAGCGATTTGCTCAACTGATTGGTCAACGCCAGCATGCAGAGAAGTACTATCGTGTGTCGAAAGATGATCAGTAAGCCATCTCGTTCAAATCATTTAATCTCCGAACTCCAATGCCTTTTGTATTGCTCAACTGATTTGCATTCTTCTCTTTATAACCAGAGCATTTGTTCTCTTTTTTCGCAGCCAGCACAGCATAATTGAAGCTCAAGAGATTTTCGATTGACATCTAGTGATCGTAATTGCCATAGAATTATATTCAGCGAAGGTCATTCACTGGGGGGTTTTGAAAGGTATCTACTTTTGTTGTCATACATAGCAATTGGATTCTAGGTTGCTCTGGCTATGTTGTTGAGGTTGCTGTAGCTCGTAGATATCTTTCAATTTTGTATAAAATTCATTCATCAACCCTCTCTCTACATGCTAAAAATCTTCTATGTATATTCTTCGATCAATTTTTGTTTCCTGGACTGCAATTATCGGTGTTACTTTTAAATTACAACCCTAATATAATTTTCCCGTTTATTGTACTTAGTACATCCAATTTAATATCTGGACATCATCTCGTCATCTTCTGTCACACATTGGACAATAATAAGATATGCGACATATTCCTTCTATCTCACAAAAATAGTCCACATTGAGTTTTGAGTTTTGTACTATTTTTAGTACAAATTTGAAAACTCAACGTGGACTATTTTTGTGCGACGGTATAATTTGGTAGTATAATTTAAGATCTGTAAGAAACAGGGAAAATGCTACTCGGTACTTTACGTACCGTAAATACACGATATGAGCGAGCCTAAAATGACAAGTTCGGATGAAATAAAACGCATTGATGAGTGGCAAACTCGTTTGTAATTTTTCTTTTTTTTTTTTTTTTTTTGTTTTTCCGGGTCAACTCAATTAGCATATTTTCTAACCTTTAGAAACAAGAATAGCCAGAGAGAAGATAGTAATGAACAATTTGAATTGCACATGTACATTTTTTTTTTCTTGTTAATACATCTTATCTTAGCTAATAGAAACTGTGATCATTGCTTTACACAAAAAATGTGATCATTTCACGCAAGTTTTCGCAGATTTGTAATCATGAGATGAGGAAACGGATGTAGTTTGTGAATTGTTTTCTGTTCTACTTACTAGTCTTCAAAAATCACTTATCATTTACTCTTTTAATCCAATTTTCATTCAAGATACTTGATTCTCTAGTGAGATTCTCCCATTTATATCATTCGACTTCTGAAACACAGATTTCAGCTTCTAAACCCTATACTAGAAATATTGTTGTCCCAATTTTCAGCCACATGAATGTTTGCTTTCTTCATGGAGTTGTCCTTGTTCCTTTTGGGACAACAGTTACCTAAAAAAATAGACCTAATTGGTTGCGTTAATGCATTCAAGAGAAATAATGGCTCCATCTTTTGACCCTTTTTCATTTGGCTCCTTTCCTAAAGGTTGTCTCCTGCAAGGAATTCTTTGAATATTTTTTTTTTCGTGAGAAGATTGAGCTCCTTTTTGTTAAATGGCTGACAATCATTTCCATCTTTGTCATGATCAATCATGACTTTGAAGAATTTCAGGGCACCGTTGCTCGTGTTTCATTGAGTCTCTTCTCACCTCATGAAAATTCTCATCATTATTTGACAATTTTCTTTTTTCTTACAATTATAAAATTACACTTCTACTAAGGATGAGAGAATGTTATAATTTTATAGTCAAAGAGATAGGAATTTCTAACGTTCAGAACAAACTTATTTTTTTCGCTTTATAAATAATTATCTAATTTAAAATTTTCATTAAAAATGAAAATACAAACTAACATTTGGAGATAGTACGAGTCTCGTACGTGTACTCATTTCTTGAAGTGCAACCAAAATGAACACTTTCATTTTTCATTCTTATCCCATTGGCGATATTAAGAAAAATGAATTGACCAACGAAAATAGACTATTCGACCTCAAAACAATAACAATCTCTATCTTAATCCCGATTAGTCTATATATCAAACCCTACTATTCCTGCTCCCTTGGCAATTTGATGTATCCTTTATAAAATTCTTGATACTTAACCCATATTTTCGCTAGCATCCATTCATGCCTTGAGCTGGTATAATTTTGTTTATTGTTGTGAGTTTCTTATAAGTGCTAGCAAAGAGAGAAACTTCTCTGATCATCATTCAGCCATGTTTCATTCTCTCTTCAACAATGTACAGTACAACTTTTATAAATTAATAGTGTTGAAACCATCAAAATTTATTAATTTAGAGAATTATTAAATAATCGATAAATTAATAAATTATTAATTTAAAGAATTTATATGAGAAAAAAAAACCCTCACTAAATTATTTAATTTTCAATTGTCTTTACATACAAATTAATCAAGTATTAAAATTTTTTTAAATACTAAAACTTCATACATACTTCAAATCATCTTTACGGACTAAATTACAAGTATCAATAATTCAGATTTTACTAAATATTTATAGTTACTATAATTATTTTCTTACATTTATGATATTATTAGTTTATAGTATTGTTAGGACCTATAAAAATATAAGAGATTTTATGAAACATTACTATCCTATAATTTTATCGATTTTTTTTTCACTTTTTGTACTGATCCCAAATTGAGACCAAAAAATATTATTAATTGCTAGAAGTTATTAGTTTATAGATTATTAATTTACCGAATGTATCATAGTTCATAGATCATGTCTCATTCTCTTCGGCAACATTTGATATATCATAGTACATAAATCAACAAACAGGACTCGAACTCTATTTTTACATCATGAATAATGTTATACTACCTCCGTCCCATAATTATTGTCCATTTTAGACAAAAAATTGTCCTAAAATTATTGTCCAATTTGACTTTTTATGGATCAAGTTACACATTTATCCTTAGTAAAAAAACATTATCCATAAAATCTTAGTAGTTAAATAATTACTTATGTAGGGGTATATCCGGTTGTTTAAAGTAAAATATAGTTACATTTGACCAAAAATAAAATCTTTTATTTTAGTAAAACTGGATAATAATTATGGAACGGAGGGAGCAAATGATTTCACACTCTTTCACTGATAACAGTTGCCCCATGGTGAAAAGGTGCGCGAAGAGAGGTTATATTACAATTGTAAAGAATGCTCTCTTAAGTGGTTTACGTAAAAGGAATAAACTTTTCAGATTCAATTTCCGGTAAATGTACCTGATGCTTCTACAACTTTTTGAAGTTAATACACCAAGTGTAACTACGCTTCTAATTAAAATGAAATGCTTCACTGCGGACATCACATTATTGGTCCTGAGCAATATAACAAACTTGAAGATTAAGAAGGGGGAAAAATTTGTAAATCAAGCACCGGAAATACATAAGGAACCGCGAGGAATAAAGAAATCATGTGTCGGACTTATATCTTGTACTTCATTTCAGACATCTTGAACCCGGGCATGCCGAAAGAGGTTGAGAACTTCTCAACATCTGCCTTAAGTTCCTCAATGTCTTTGTTGTTAACCAACCCCTTATTGAAGTCCTTCAAAAGCTTTCCATGCTCCTTTTGGATCTTCAAACAGAGGGACACAGCCCTGTGGAGGAACTCTCCAATCTGCTCAAAGTCTTTCTCAACCAAACCCCTCGATGTCATTGCCGGAGTACCTGAGAAAAAATAACAATTTAGTGACTTGCTCCATAGGCATGGAATTATAGTATAATTCAGACTAATACTTTGAGCCAGAGAGCTATCTTAATTCCTATTAGGCATAGCTGAGCCTAAGGGCATAAAATATGTAGAGATGACTGATTCAAATCCCAAATGAAAGGAAACAAACGTGGACCACGAGAATGTTAAGGTAATCTTCACTCATCTCAGTGGACACAATCTTTAATCATTGATCCCCTGCTCCACCACCACATGGTTCCATTTCTTTACATTTACTTCAAAAGCCTAGTGATTACCAAATTAACTCCAACTCAAAACACACCCTACCTAGCTATATGCCAAGAATTTCCAGGAAGCCAAAAAATATTTCATTTCAACGCCGACGCAGGATTCTTAACTTCTCACCAACTTGACCATATACAACTAACTCAATTAGTTCTAAACATGAATACACAATCATCTACCTTTGCTACCCAAATTAGTCTTTGATCAGGTTTTAATCCAAAAATAGAAATTCAAAAGTAATAAATATTGACAGGTAAAAGTCTAGAAATACAAAGATTCTCCGTTTGATTACCAATGCGAACTCCACCAGGGGCCAAAGCACTGCTGTCACCAAACACAGCATTCTTGTTAACGGTAATGTTGCACAAGTCACAGAGTTTCTCCACCTTGTTACCTGCATCAATTAAAACAATTCATTGGTAATCAAGTGGAAAAAGGTTATAAAGTGGAAAAAACAAAAAGAAAAAGGTTAAATGCTGTTACCAGTCAAGCCAAGAGGGCGAAGATCCCACAGAACAAGGTGATTCTCAGTTCCGCCTGTGACAAGCTTGTACCCTTTGCTCATCAGGTACTTTCCAACGGCTACAGCGTTTGCCTTAACTTGCTGTGCATAAGCCTTGAAACCTGGAGTCATGGCCTGCTTCAAAGCCACAGCCAGAGCACCAATCTGGTGGTTGTGAGGACCACCCTGGAGGGAAGGGAAAACAGCAAAGTTGATCTTGTCCTCAAAGTCATAAACTGCATCCTCAGGCTGTCCCTTCTTTGCTGGCTTGGGACCCTTCCTGTAGAAGATCATACCAGCTCTAGGCCCCCTCAAACTCTTATGGGTGGTAGTTGTGACCAAGTCACAGTATTCGAAAGGACTTGCAGCTTCCTGCAACCACAAGCATTTCAGTTCATAATTAGATATTTGATTCAGTACATATAATTCCACAAACCTGCAATTTAATTTCAGAAGCACACTATAATATATCTGCATTTCACTCAGACACAACTTGATATATAACCAACATTGAACCAAATCTTTAGTCCAATTTCACATTATCCATTTACAGGACTACAAGAGTTTAGAAAGAGAGACGTCGCCACTGAAGAAAAAGTTAGGTGGCTACCCTTTAAAATTGTGTCTTGCACGTTGGCATCTTTGCATCCAGAAAACCAGCAAAAACCATAAATTACTGATTTAAAATATAATTATCAAGTTCAGATCTTAGACATACTCATTTAAATATAAAAACGGAGGCCCCCAAGATCCCTCAACAACGACAATTTACATTGAGAACATGCAATAAACATAAAATAATAAATCTATTCACACATATCAAGACGAGTATCTGTATACTTCATAACCGATCTCAGATCCAGAACTTGCAATCAAAAAATACTAGAAATGGGAATATGATTTAAAACAGGAAATTGGAAAATACTGCAAGTCAAAAAGTCAGAAATTCCAAACAAATTTAATTCCTTCAGGATACAAATGATAAGAGTGTGAATTCTAATCATTCATACCACTATACTCAAAAGAAAAACTTTTATGCTCCACAAAATGCTTACAAAGCCTTAATTACTCTCACAATCAAAACAACATTACCACATTTCATGAAAAATCCAGATCGTATACAGATCGAATTCCAGCTATAAAGAATACCCACCAAATCTCAAAACCTCTAAATGAGTTCACATTTCATTAAGGGAAACTAGCATTATCAAGAACAACAACAATTAACAAGCATACCTGAGCAGCAACAAGGCCACTAATGTGAGCCATATCGCAGAGCAAGAGGGCACCAACTTTGTCAGCAACTTCTCTAAGCTTCTTGTAATCCCAATCCCTGGGATAAGCACTTCCACCACAGATAATCATTTTAGGCCTGAAATCCAAAGCTTTCTCTTCCAATCTCACATAATCAATGTAACCCGTAGCGGGATCCACCTTATACGGGAGACTCTCAAAATAGATCGAGGTGGCACTAATCTTCTTCCCACCGGAGGTATAGTACCCGTGTGTCAAATGCCCACCGGAAGGCAAATCCAACCCCATGATCCTGTCATGAGGCTGAAGCACAGCGGTGTAGGCAGCGAAATTGGCCGGAGAGCCGGAATAAGGCTGCACATTGACACCCCATTTGGTTGGGTCAAGCCGGTAAGCTTGCAGGGCACGAGATCGGGTCAAGTTCTCGATCTCATCAATGTATTCATTCCCACCGTAGTATCGGTTCCCGGGCATACCCTCGGAGTACTTGTTGGTGAGGGCGCTGCCGAGGGCCTCGATGACGGCGAAGGAAGTGAAATTCTCGGAGGCGATTAGTTCGATCCCGCTGCATTGGCGGCGTTTTTCTTTCTCGATGAGGTCATGGATCTCGGGATCCACTTCGTTCAAGGAGGTGTTGCCCCAGACTTCGACGGGATCCATGGAAATGGGGTTTTTTGGGAGGGCGGAGATGGTGGTGGCGGTCGGTGGTTGGCGGTGGAGGGAAACGAGAGAAGGAGAGAAAGAAAGGCAGGGAAAAGAGGAGGGGAAGATGGGGGTTTAAAGGAGAGTGGAAAGTGGTTGGTGGACAATGTTGTCATTTTCCCTTTCAATGTGATAAAGAAATAATTATATTTTATTTTGCTTTTTTGTTTTTTCATTTTGCCTAAGTTTGGTAAAAACTAAAAAGTTGAAAGTTGAAACAACCTTTGATTTATCTTTATTTACAAGATTATAATTGCTAATAACCACTCCGACTCCTTGTTATTTCTATTGTACTATCATTTTTGGGAAACACTGGTGTCAAGGTTAGAGCTCCGTATGTTATCAAAATCCATATTGCAAATTAAAAAGAATTTGTTATTGAATTGTTAAAAGATTACATATGATACCACCTTACATCAAATTTAATTGTGTTAAATTTCTTTCTATGTTAGTGGCGAAACTAGAAAATCTGAATAACATACACACAATTCACAAAAATATTAATAAAAAAATTAAAATAAAATTCAAAAGAAACACCTAAATTAGCTTATTACATTGATTTCTCTAGTAATTATAAAATCATGAAAGAATGCGACATCAATAGCTTGTCCTTCCCTCTAGTCTTCACTGCTCAATGGCTTTTTACGACATTTTTAGATGATAATTTACGGACGATTTTCTTAATTAAAATATAATTTTGGCACCATATTTTGAAATTAAAAAGAAAATGAGGGTGTAAAACTGTTATAATTCAAGTTTTAGGGAAAACTTTTGGAAAATTAGAAAGTTCAATTTGAAACTTCTCCATTTAATTGTTAATTTTTTTAATTATTTGTTGGTGTTTGGTGAATGGTGAAGGAGCGAGGAGGACTCGGGAGTGGGTTGAAACTTGGAAATGTTTTGGGATATTTGGGGGTTGTTGAGAAAAGGGAGGAAAAAAGAGGGCAGAATTTGCAATGAAGATTTCGAGGTTGAAAAACATGACAGGTTCGCATCATCATCAAAGTTTGTGACCATTTTTTAAATGTCACTTATAACTTTGATAACAATCACCCATCAGTTTAATCTTATAGTATCATCAGCTAATATTGTTACTCTGGAATGATGTACCCTAGTCTTAAAATGGTTTTTTTTTTTTAGCTCGTAAAAGTAATTCACTTTTTGTATCATTATATTATTTTATTATAACAAAAACTTTTTTTTTTTATAAAAAAAAAGTAGTATTTTGTCAATAGAGTAATTATATATTATATATAATATAATACTGGGGATCATGTGTTACTGTATTATTTAATTTAAATAAATAATTTTTTTTGGAAAGAGAAAGTTTTAATTATATTATGTAATACATAACAAATATAAAAATTATTTTAAAACGAAATGAATTACCGTAGTTATTATAAAGATAGATCCTTGATCTATACTATATAGTACCACCAGATGCTTTTGTTGCCAACATGCAAATAACGGCTGCATTTTAGATTTGGAAAAATTATTGAGTTGTTGTATCCTGGTTTTTAGTGCAATAAGTATTAGCACCTCTTTATTTTGGTGCTATAACTCCTTTAGAAATTATCTCTTTCCTTCTAAAATTACTACTTTATCCTATTTATTATGTCTGCCTACATAATCTTACGTGGTACAGCAGCCACACTCGATAATTTCTCTCAGATTCGATGGTTGTAACATACTAACATTTGACATGATCAAGCCTTCAAATAAGCATATAACTATTTAAACAATAACTTCTCAAAATTGTTTGGTCTTTAGTATTTAGTTTTTTATTTTTACCCTAGCTTTTTAAAAACATAAAAAACATAAAATAAAAAAAAATCACCCTCTTGCTCATTTTCAGCTTAGGTTACATTGTAGCTCTTAATCTCTTCAATTTGAAAGCTTCGGATGAGATTATTGCTTGCTGCTACACTTTTTGGTATAAGTTACCGAGATAGCTGCAGAATGACAGTGTCAATTAATCAGTGACTCTGGCTAACAATTTGAGGGCTTCTTCTGTGGATCGAGGTAGAGTCCTCCTAAGACTTCACTTACAGGGATGAACTTCATCTGTTTTATAAAATGATTGTAACCAAATAATATTTATTTTAGGACAGTGAACAACATTTGATTTGGTAAACCTGAGAACTACAATAAATAAAACCAAAAAAAAAAAAAAAAACTACTTGTGGTGAATTTTAGTCAATTCCCCCCAAATCTCTTACTTTGGCATTTTCATTCTTTCGAGTTTCGATACTTAGTCTTGCAAATTAACTTTTCTAAATGGTAAATTAAAAAATTTTCAGAAAATAACATTTGTTACTAACAATTTAATTCTATTTAACTAAATTTTTTTTTAAAAAAATGAACGAACTCCCTCCGTCCCAAAAATATTGTCCAGTTTGGACTTTCACGTTTAGTTCAATTTGTACTAAAAATAAAAATCTAAATAGGACAATAATTTCATGAAGAAGGGGATATTAATTATTCATGGGCAACGTCATTTCAAGAAATTGGTAATTTTTTTGTCGGGTAAAACCCATCTTGGGGTTTTGGCATTAGGCTTCTATGTAGCTAGCTTCTGTCCAATAAAGGACTTCACAACATGTCTGAAATACGAGGATCATGTTTCTTAGCCACAGAAATAAAATTATAACTATTCAGCAGTGTTCACGTTTTATGCAAGATCATTTCTTTTGCTATTTTCTATTTGCAGGAGAATGTTAAAAAAGAAAAAAAAAGAAAAAAAAAAACCAAAGTAAGGCAACAAAATTATATTTTCCAGTTTCAATAATTGGAAGTTGGAACTTTGGAAAAGTTATTTGGCAGAGTTATGTGGTCCTCATATTTTTTAATGTGGGACATCCATCACACTAGTAAACAATATATGTCATTTATCTCATTAGGCGAAATCGTTTATATGAATCATACTATGTTACATTATTCAGAAATAATCAGTAGATTTCATTATCTTATACGAAATTGAAACATGTAGTAAAATGGCAATAGACCTTCCACTTCTACGTGGTAAGGTCAACTTTCTTAGCTAAGATTGGAAACCAAGATTGGAGCATAAAAGATTAACTTAATTAATTAACAACCCTTGATTAGTAACTACTGGTTCAGCCTCCATTCCCTTTTTAATCCTACATGCACTTTTTGTATATATGCTCAAACCATAACGTTATTCGATGCAGATCACATCTTTTTAAACGGTAAATCTTACTACTCCTTCTGTCTCAAAATTATTGTCCAATTTGAGATTTCATTTTTAGTATAATTTAAATTAGAAATGAAAAACCAAACTGGACAATAATTATAAGACGGAGCCAGTACAAAACTAAAGTATCGCCGTGGCCAAATTGATGAAAAGTGGACACAATTAATTGGTACGCGGTATCGTCGTCATTGGAAGATAACTATGATGTATGGATGTCCTCATTAGGTTTTTAGTCAATTAAACAAAGAAAAATGGAAAAACAAATAGGAAAAGAAAGTTGGTGTGGGTTGGTGAAGGACAAATTAGTCCTTCTAATATTTACCAGCCCCCAATATATCATCCCTACCATAGATGTTGACATCAACAGATAAAAACTTTTAGGAGGAAGAAATGACAATAAATTACATCATTATGTAATATATTCTCTCCGTCTCAAACAAAACAATCATATTAAAAACAGATAAGATTAAAAAAAGAAAATAAAATTGTGCTATCACATCCCCTATAGTGAAATGATTTTGCTGAAAAAATTTCTTAATTTAGTCTATGCAAAGGGTTAAAGAGTTTGCTTCCTCGTGGTGCTATTTATAAGAATTCCCATATTTGTGGATAAATGTCTTAAGTACATAAGAAAATGGTAGTTGAAACTTTAAAAAAATTATTATATAGTAGTACCACATGTTTTCTACGAGTGTTTCACCAAACACTCACCAACCCTTAGCTATACTATGTTTCAATCATTTTTCTCTCATTCCTGACAGTTCCTTAAGTGTCAAAAGGATTCAAAGTCAAAATGTTGGTGTATATGTGAATTGTGATATAGTATTCTTACCTATTAAAGTAAAAGTATATTTATTGTAAAATATGTATCTGTATTTTTTTCAAACAAATAAACTGTCAACTGAAATCACATTCCACAAATCCGTAAAATTGGACATAAACATATATATTTTTACATTTACTTAATCGGGATGTTGAAATTTTGAGCGTGCAAATGCCAATCTATCAAACCATAACAAATACGGCCATCAATTGGTCGCCTCATGTACTGTTTCTTACTGATGATAAATCAACTATTAATAACAAAATAATAAAAAAATTAATAAATTTCCAATTATTTTTGACATTTTTCATTTTAAGAGGGAAGAGTAATAAATAATACTCTTTCCGTTCTTAAATTATTATCCAATTTGAATTTTTATTTCTAGTAAAATTTATACTAAAAGTGAAAATACAAACTGAAAATAATTAAAGGAATATTGTCAATCGTTGTCCTCTCTAAATTCATCACCGCCTCCATCTAATCAGCCCCCAACTACCCCCGATGTCATTTTGTCAAACATATCCATAGGGCTGCCGCCGTTGTCCTACCAATGGTAGTTAGTGCGCCAATTTTGGCGTGCGGAAAAAGAAAGGAGGAAAAATTGATAGAAATTACAAAAATAATTTGGAAAAGGGACTAAAATTTTTTTATTTTTTGGTGTATATAATTGAGAAAAAAAAAACTAAGAAAGTATAAAACCTAAGTTTGAAGAGACTTAAAAATGATTTAATATTCGGTAGGTATTAACAAATGGGTTCAAACGAAATACAGTCACTGATTTTGAATGTCTCTACATGTTCATATTTCTATCTCGCATTTTTGTTCGTGTCATTTAACCAATGATTCAAAATTCACAAAACAATTTTTACAATCATGCTACAACAAACAATTCACCAATGATTCACAAAATTATGTGACTACGTATACCAAATACATACAAGTCTATATTAAGCGATAAGTATCATTATTTGTCTCGTCACGTCAGATTAACGAATTGATATTTAATTAAAATTGTGACGACGTATTATTAACTTCATGAAAACTAACATCACATTGAATACA